GATAATGCCAATATTACTGCGATATAAATGTAAATATTGCTTTAAAACTCCTTAATCTGTGGAAACATACACATGTGTGAATAATATTAATAACATGATAAAAATGTGTAACTAACATACAGTATAAGCATCGATAGACTTAATATTTTATATTAACATTGAAATCTATCAATAACACGTGAGTCACTAAAACTCGTTATTCAAAGATATTTTTTTCCCAAAGGCAGGAAATATAGTACACTCTGGGTGTATGTACATTGAGCTCAGACCAGTGTTTATACATTGAGGACCAGTGTATGTACACTGAGAAATGGTATAAACCTTGGTAATAAATACCGACAAGTTGGTTTAGAAAGACACGTAAGCAAACACTATAACATATTTATTAGAAAACGTTTCGGTCCTGGGACCTTGATCACTTCTAACATACAGAGGTAGAAAGACATTATATATAGGCGGAGAGTGAGATGTGACGCACGTGACCTGAGGAATGTCATAAGAACACAAGAATGGATGAACACTGTAGAAGGCCTACTGGCCTACTGAGAAATACCTATCTGTGTTTATCTGGAGTTTACCTGGAGAGAGTTCCGGGGTCAAATGTGTATATATGCACTTGTGTGATGTTTCTCAATATAACGTATAAAAGACACTTACATGACGTTAGGTCAATTATTGGAAACGTTTCCCCCAAAATTACATAAACAATATACTCTGACCACAACATTATAGAAGTACAAACGAGTATTAACTCAGGGTTAGGGAACTGCATCACTAATGTAACAGAAGGGATGTTCAGTAAGTTTAATTTCAACAATCATAGAATTGACTGGGAAAAAATGAACCAAAAGTTATTAGACATATCCTGGGACTCAGACATGAGCGACCTAAATCCCCACCAGTGCCTAGAGAAGCTGAATATAGAAGCATACAAGGTCTGCATTAAATACGTACCATTGAGGAAGCCTAGATAATGTAGAGAGAGAGCGTAGGAGATGCTACAGAAGAAAACGGGTTACTAAATTGCTTAAAAACACAGATGTGTCGCAACAGAGGAAAGATAGTCTTAACCGAGAGATCACTGAATTAGAGCAAAAACTTAGAATGACATACCTAACAGAAGAAGTACAAAGGAAACAAAGGGCCATACAGGATATTGTAACAAACCCAAAATATTTCTATGTCTATGTAGAATCTAAGCTAAGAACTACCTGTAGAACTGGACCGTTATTGAGAGGAGACTCGTATAGTGACCATGAACAGGAAATGAGTGAAATCCTAAAAAACAGTACGAGTTGGTGTTCAACAACCCACTCAATGACAGCAAGTTAGAAACTGCAGAAACATTTTTTACTCCAGCAGAAAGCCGCGTAGATCAATTAACTGCATTAGTACAAATCCCACAGACTTCGATAAAGAAGTGGCTAACATGCCCACTCACTCAGCACTTGGGCCAGATTCATGGAATGCCCTTATTTATAAAGAAATACCAAGTACCACTAGCACAAGTCCTCAGTATTCTTTGGAGAAAGAGCCTAGATCTAGGTGAAATAGCAGAGACCTACAGACATAGCTCCGTTGCGCAAGGGAGGTAGTAGAGCACTAGCTAAAAATTACAGACCAGTATAAGTCATTAAAGTCTAGCATCACGAAGCAATAGCATCATAAATTTCTAATGTTGTATTAAATAATCGACCATCTTTGAATGTTTAAACTGTTGACATACCATCCCCGGAGTCCTCATAAGCGGATGTCTGCCTTCTACATCACTCCGCAGCTTATTTAAGGCCTTTTTTTTTTTTTTGTTTTGTTTTGCTGCTGACTAGTGGAGTTCATGGCGCCTGTGGTAGGCGGGTAGGAGCCTGTAGGATTCATTTCACATGAATTTCAGCGTTTGTTGACAGTTTTTGACTAGTTGTTAATGGCGCCTGTGTAGAGAGGTAGGAACCTGGAGAATGCTGTGTTGTGGTGTCTTGAGAGGTGTAGTGGATGTCGCTCCGGAGGTGGAAGGAGTACATTTCGTAGGAATTTCAGCTTGTGTTGACAGTTTTTGACTAGTTGGAGTTAATGGCGCCTGTGGTAGACGGGTAGGAGCCTGGAGAGGTGTGTATTTTGATGGTTACATGTGGTGTCTTGAGAGGTGTGTGGTGTATGTCGCTCTTGAGGTTGGCGGGTTACATTCGTAGGAATTTCAGCTTGTGTTGACGGTTTGTGGATTTAGAGTTCATTTAGATTAATAACACCCTAGTGAATTGAACTTCTTTTTTTCAGTGTGGGCGAGTAAAAATCAATGTCGGTGTGTTGCGCATCTGTACTATCGTTTTTAGTAGGACGGATTCGTTGGTGTGTTAAACGGCCTAGCTCCTGCACCCTCTCTGAGGCAGCGGGCAACTGTGGTGGTGATGGGAGTGGTAGCAGCCCCTCCCCTCTAGAAGTAGTGAGGGTGAGGGGAAGCAGCAGCCTCCCCTCACTAGCAGTGGTGAAAGCGAGGGGAGAGCAGTCATAGCATCAGTGGTCTTACACCTCCTCCCTGCCGGAGCAACACTGGTGTAGGACTTGGGTTCGACATAATATCCGCCATTATGCAAGTTTATTCTAGGTATTTTTAACCTAGGATAATCCTGATGCAAGCTTTATTCTAGGTATTTTTAACCTAGGATAATCCTGATGGAAGCTTTATTCTAGGTGTTTTTAACCTAGGATAATCTCGCCAGCCATGTGTCTGGCCGTAATGCAGGAGAGAAACGAGAGAAGCGGTGAAGAGAGGCAGTGACCCACCCATTCTTTTCTCAAATTTCGGACGATCTCTTATCGTGTGTCCAAAAGTCATTGCAATGAAGGTAGTGGAAAGATTACACATACATATAGCGGGCTCAGGAGCTGGAACCCAACATTGTTTTAGTGGTAACGAACTGCTTACACTTAAAGGTGGACATAATTCGCTAGAAATATTTACTAAACATCAATATATCTATACCAAACATTTTTTTTAGCAAACCACATATTTCTAGCAGTTATTTATTCCATATTTTTGTTACTAGTAAGTTATAAGTCGAAGTGTAGCTGGGAGTGTAAGTGTCGGCTCTGAGAGACGTACAGAACAGTGTGCCGGACTTTCATTTGGACTAAAGAAGTACAAGGCACAATACCGTGACTTGAACAATACACAAATAATCCACACGTAGGAGAGACTTATGACTTCGACCATTGAATTTTAGTCGGTAATGAGAGAACTTCAAGTCACTGGTGAGTTTTACGCTAACGACTAGCACTATAGAAATTAATACATCACCGTTATTTGTGAATAATAGTGACTGTGAGGACGATTACAGTGAAACCAAATATACCGCACTGTGTCTGCGATATAGCACTTTTTATGTTGATTTCTGAGTCCGAAATTGAAGATTGAGACACTTATGCAACATATGGGAATCTTTATTGAGGAAACGTTTCGCCACACAGTGGCTTCATCAGTCCAATACAGCGCAGAAAGGTGTAAGGAGAGGAGGAGTTTGAGGTAATCAGCCCCTCAGCCTGGAAGCGATGTGTTCAGTCCATCAATCTTGTAAAAAGTGCAGCATAGGACCGTAGACGTGGCTTATATACTGTAGTCAGGTGAGACGAAGCAGGATATAAGCCACAGTATATAAGCCACGTCTACGGCCCTATGCTGTACATTCTTCAAGATTGATGAACTGAACACATCGACTCCAGGCTGAGGGACTGATTAACTCAAACTCTTCCTCTCCTTACCCCTCTCTGTTTTGTATTGGACTGATGAGGTCACTGTGTAGCGAAACTTTTCTTCAATAAAGATTCCCATATGTTGCATAAGTGTCTTAATCTTCAACTTGTCGGTTTTTTAAACCATTCATCACAAGAGTCCGAAATTGTCCGATATTTTTGTCAGTGGTTATGGGTTTGAGAACGACCTGCCTAGCATGGGCCAGTAGGCCAGCTCTAATGTGCCTCCTTTCTTACGTTCTTATGTATAGTGAGCGATACAGTGACTTGAGAAGGGAAATCGCGGTTACAGAGTTATGCCAGTTGGTAACAGATATTGTAATAGTGATATATGCGATGGCTGATCAAATATAATAGTGATTTGACCTGTGATGAAGAATGTCGTGTTGTGCCTTCAGCTGATCAAATATAATAGTGATTTGACCTGTGATGAAGAATGTCGTGTTGTGCCTTCAGCTGCCACCAGTGCCATCTCAGTCGGATATTTTATACAGTGAGGCTTGTCTACCAGTGCCTGTTTGTCTACCAGTGCCTGCTTGTGTCTACCAGTGCCTGTTCCAGTGTGTTGATGGGTGTAGTTGTAATGTCATAGTTGGTGTGACTGTCTGCTTGACCGTTGTTGTGGTTGTAGGTGTTGTAACGTTATAGTTGGTTTTATTATACCTGTGTCTGCTTGACTTCTTATTGTTGTAGGTGTTGCGATAACCTCAATTGTTTTCGCATGAGTCGAGTCACCGCTCCTATGCTTGCTTGTGTGATATGATTGTGTGCGTGTTTTAATGACATATTTAGAAGTATACGCAGCAATGGATTCAAGTTGGACAAATTAAGATTTAGAAAGGATATAGGCAAGCATTGGTTTGGTAATAGTGAAGACGAAGGGACAAAATTTTGGGTAGCGTGACGGGGTGAAAACTTTTGATAACTTTAAATAAAGATTAGATAAGTATAGGAGTAGATATTAGTTAGACCTGCCTAGCAAGGGCCAGGAGGCCTACTGCAGTGTTCTTTCATTCTTATTCTCTTAACGAGAGTAATAACTTTCATTAGGACTATGGTCAATCACTGGGCTGGTTCATCTCTCCAATGTTTTAAATGCGACAGTAACAAAAGTAAAATATTGGGAGCATTAGAAAAACGGACTGACGTTAATCTCATCCTATAACACTAAACGAAGAAGCTTATAAGGTTACTATAACGTTTATGTATAGCTTAACGATCTTGTCGGTACCTGATGAGCCTGACTGTAGTTCATACGTTGGACTACGTGCAGCCAGCAGTAACAGCCTGGTTGATCACGCCCTGATCCACCACGAGGCCTGGTCAAGGATTGGGCCGTGGGGGCGTTGACCCCCCGAACACCCTCCAGGTAGGGCAATATTGCTGTGGAGAGGGATAATATCAAGAAGGCAAGGCTGGACTGGTACTCACATTTGGTCTCTTAGGTGGTTTATGTAGACCACTTTGGAGGTTCCCTTAACCTACAAGAGGACCTCTCTACTTCACTGACCCCTTCCACAGGTCAGTTACCTAACATCTTATGACCCTCTCTGATTGCCAAACCCTTACTCTAACAGAGATCGCTCTGCCCCCAGTTAAAAGTAACTAATCAGAATATTTTTAGAAAAGCTGATAATAAGACTGACACAGTAAATACAGCCTCAGCTGCCCTCTATAAATCTTAAGACACTCGGGTTCCCTACAAGTATCACATAACCTAGGAAATGGATTTAACACATCTATGAGCAGGTCTAATATTGCTGACAGTGTTAACCAAGGTCAGTGTTATGCCTGTGTGGCCACTCATCCAGTCATCTGTCAGACCCAGTGATGCTTAATCTGGCTGACAGAGCGCCACTCACGTCAGCCACAATTCAGTTTCCTGATTATATATTCTGTTTTATATGTTAGCTATATTTTATCAACTCTCAGTGATCTCGCAGCCATCACCAACACAACCCACATTACAGTTCCCCGGTGTCTGCAACATGTAATAAACGAGCAGATCTTACCACCCCCAGGGTGTCAACCACAACAGTTGACTAACACCCGGGTACCTACTTACTGCTAGGTGAACAGGGGCAGCAGGTGTAAGGAAACATACCCAGAGTTTTTACCTGTGCCAGGGATTGAACCATGGACCTGCAGTGTGTGTGAGCTGAGTGCGCCACCAACCAAGCCTTTAAGGACTACTGTGACTCATGCTGCATGAGTATTATTCCATTCATGGAGGAGCATTAAACCCATAGGGGTCATTAAGTGCTTGGAAGGCATTCGGGTTTGATCCAAGGAATTGGACCCCCCCCCCACCTCCCTTGGATCAGACCTGAATGCTTCCCTTAAAAAGCCACAACATATTTTTTCATTGATAATTTTTTTTTTTTTGGGGGGGGGAGGAGATAGCTTGTATTCAGGGTACTATTGAAATGGAAAAAGTTTGTCATATGGCTGTTAATATACAATTTTTCTTATGTAAATAAGTCAATAAAAGTAGATGGTAAAGCTTGACTTCCACAACTTTCTTACAAAGCCTGTGTTTACTGTGTAGTATTCTCTGTTACGTAGTTTTTCCCTTGCACTTTGGTGTTACAGTCCTCACTATATGTTCTGGTCTGGGATAGCTAGCTAGAGACCCCGACAGTTCAGTACAACTAGATATTACACATAATGAGTCTTTCCTGCTACTTGGGTACGTACATATTTACTCCTATAATCCCGCAACACTAACTTATCATGCATTTCTTGAATTATCTTGTTTTACCTTGCAGTTCGCTTCACTCTGCTTTCCTTCCTCAGTTCTGCACCACCCCGGTAACGGTTGGAGGCTTAGCATCGGATCTGGAAAGCCATGACACTGACCCAGAACCACTGCCGCCGCCCATCCCACCTCACGGAGTGGAGTCGGGTGCCATCACGGAGGTCCATCCTGTCTCCGCCTCTGAACAGCTCGACCCTGACTTCATGACGCCTGACGAGGCACAACGGCTCCTCAGTGCCAAGTAGGTGGTGTCCTCGTCTGACCTCTCATTGACCTGCAGTTATAGTATGGATGTGCCCATTGTAAAACCCATTCACTTCCTCTCAAATTGGATTAATCCAATTTTTTAAACTAAAATTTTCATCTGTATCAGTGCATTTTTCTGAGTATCAACTTAGTTTATTTTGGCATAATATTAGTTGAACCTTTATTGTAATGCCATGCTTTACTTACTACATTCATATATATACTTCATAATTTATTTTAAATATATATTAACATATTAATCTTGCATGATTATACAGTATCCTTTTATATGTCTTAATGCTCATTGATTGACATGTAGTACTTCTACGTATACATTTTTATAAGCTACCAGTATGTAGACTTACCTCAGTGAATGTTCCCAATCTATGCATTAATCAAGTTAATGAATAAGGCATCCCCTCCCTCTCTTCACTCATATGCATGATTCAGATGATCTAGCCATTTTGTGTTTTTCTTTGAATAAGTCACCTAAATCTCTTTTACCAAGGGCCTTGATTACTTAAAGCCTGGCATACCTGGAGAGTGTTTCAGGGGTCAGTGCCCCCACTGCCCGGTCCATGACCAGGCCTCGGTATAATAGAACAGAATGTACATTCCAAATGGTACACAATTTTTCTTAACCTTCTGGTATGAACTGTACAGTGAGCCTTCGGTGTAATGAACTAAATGGAGAGGGTGTCCTTTGAGCCAAATGTATAGTATGTATAGTATGTGTAAATGTATAGTATTTTGAATGATGTAAATGGTACAGATAGAAGAATCAGTCAGTGCTGGGAGACTGAAGGAGGAAGAGAGAAGCATTTGTTTTTTAATTATTAGTGATTAAAATACAATCTTTGGTTCTGGATTAAAAGATAGTTCATACCTTTATCAGTTACTTTAATGCAGTCAAACTGTATCTTGTGTAACTGTTAATTTAATTACTGTTTTTAAAATATCTAGGGATTAAGGAGCTAGGTGGTATAGTATTTTCTGTCTGACCTAAATATTTTTTCATTATTCAACTGACACATTACTGAAATGCTGGAGCTCTCTTAAATTTTTGGCATTCTATCAACATTACTTAAACATTAAGGTTGTTAGATATGACAGTAATAATATTTCTGTGTGATTGGTTAAAAAAGTGTAGCAGGTCTCTTAACACTAACAAGCACTTTATTTCTCTTAGCATTACCAAACACAGTTTGTATAAAAAATGTAAACATCCATCATTGTTTGTGCAAGATTGGTATACAGTACCAACAAGATGAAAATAAGACACATGTGCAACATCTGGGTATCTTTATTGTAGACGTTTCGCCAACCAGTGGCTTTATCAATACAAATTCCAGGACATAACTTGAAGACAGTAGGACTATATACAGAAGATGAGGTAATCAGTCCCTCAACCTTGGAGTAGGTGCGAAGAGCACCGTAGTCGTGGAGATTCTGAAGCAGAAGCAAGGAGCCTGGCGCTTATATACTAACGTCAGGTGGAAATGGAACGTGTAGCAGACGAGGGCAGAGTCACTGGTAGGCGGGATTACCTCATTTTCAGTATATAGTCCTACTGTCTTCAAGTTATGTCCTGGAATTTGTACTGATAAAGCCACTGGATGGCGAAACGTCTACAATAAAGATACCCAGATGTTGCACATGTGTCTTAATTTCATCTATCGTTGTTTCAATTTTTTGTTCGTCACTGTGACCACTTACATTTTTGTTTGTCTTCTGTTTATCCAAAAACTGTTTGCAACAGTTTTGCTTTTTTAGCATTGTCATAGAGAGATAAGGCCTTTGGTGGCATAGTTTTGGATATTGCAGGTTGTGGTTTATAGCTTCATGTGAAGGTCCTGATGGCTCAGTTGAGTTTAGGCAAGTTAGTAATAATGGTAGAATTACTGACAATATGTCAGGTAAAAGGACATGTGACACTAATGCAACATTTTATTGTGTTAATGTGTTGCTCTCCAGGAGCTTTGTCAAGCCATAACAGCTTGACAAAGCTCCTGGAGAGTGAAACGTTGCCACAATAAAATGTCGCATTTGTTACACTTGGGTTCTTTTACCTGACACTTCAGGCAGATTGTTGTGAAAATGAGCACAAGAGTTGGAAGCCTCTGTATAACCTGGAAGGTAGAGTTAGTGATTAGTTTTGTTATAAGCTCTGATGTTTCTTTTCCTCAGCATGTCCTAGTCCTACAAACCTGTTACATCCTTCGAACTCTTGAGCCTAATTTTGGCCCATCTTGACACAGTTAATTCCACTAAGCCCAGTTTTCTTCTCATTCGGCCCATTTCTCATTCTACCGTCACTTTGGCCATTTGAATCCATCTTGGCTCAGCTTGATGTAGCACAGCCTGTTGGATTCCCATGAGCTTGGTTTTACCTCTGCTTAGTCAATCTCTACTTCAGCTTTCCCAATTTGGCTCCATCTCAATCAATTTTTACCTCTTAGCCTAGTTGATTGATTCTTTTTCTTCTATTGGCCAATATTTATTTCCTCTTTAACTGTGCCAGACATATTTTACCTAACTTCATCCTGTTTCTTGTATGGAAATGAAGCATTGTATTTTAGCAGTTTAACTTTATTTAAAGCCAATAAATATATTTTATTATGAATATATTCTTCCTAAAGCCAGTGTGCTCAGTTTTTCTTCAAATCAAATGATGTATTTGGTCAAATGTATTTCTCCTGAGAGAAATTTATCCTTATCAGAGACAAATTTATTCTTGTTGGAATTTCTCTCCAAATTTTAATATTCATTATGTGGTCAATTTAGTTTCCCAGTGCAAACTATTTTGAATTCAAATTCAGTTTCTTCTTCCATTCATTTTATTCACTGTATCCCCACTCCCAATTTGTATTTCTCCAATTTAGTTGAACCTTGAGCAACTGGACCGATTTTATATCGACTTGCATACGTTCCTTCCTGCTTCAATGTATCTTAGTTTATTCCTTAGGAATAAATTAATTAAGTTATCGTTCAACTTACCTTGGTTTATTTACACTTAGAGAAAGCTTATTCATCTGTAGCCCATTGGCAGTGTGACTAGTTTGTTTTACTACAGAGCAGTTTATTCTTGTCTGATGGAATTTATTCACTGTCAGCCCACAGTGATCTTCCTCTTCAGTTCATAGTGTTTAATATTTAATTCAGTACAAAGTGGAAGTTGTCACAGTTGCTCTTTGCCAATGACTTGATTCTTTTGGTATGTTTTGAAGAGAAGTTGCTAAGGTTGGTGGATGAATTTGGGATCAAGGTTATGAGAGCAACAAAAAAATCTTGGAAATGAAAGATTGGATGTTGGATTGGAGGAAGGGAGTTTGGAGGAAGTAAATGTGTTTGGATACATTTGGGAGTAGACTTGTCAGCAGATGGGTCTTTAAAAGGCAAAGTGAGCCATAGAATAGCGGTGGATGGCGTGTTCAGGCATCTGTGAAGACATTGAACTTTTTCTTTGGAGGCAAAAAGGGGAATATACCAAAATATTGTGTTACCAGTACTGTTATATGGGTGTAAAGCATGGGCTTTGTATGTTGTGGTGAGGAGGCTGCAGAGATGTCATGTTTCAGATTGATGTGTGGTTTGAATTAGGAGCCTGGAGATTACAAGATGATAGGGGCTGCCAAAAGTTTAATTCAGTTAGCTGAGAAGGTGTTGCTGATGAAGTTTGGGCATTTAGAAAGGATAGAGCAGAATATGATGAGTGGAAGGAAGGAGGGGTAGGGGTCATCCCATGAATGGTTGGAGGGAGGGGCTATAGGAGGATCTGAGTGCTAGGGGCTTCAGTAGTCACCATGCTTGTGCGAGAATGTTAGGTAGGTGTGAGTGAGGATAAGTTGTTTTTATGGCTTCACGTGCTGCTGGAGTGTGAGTAAGGAACCATTTATGATGAGATTAAAGAAAACCTGTTAACCAGACTTGAGGCTTGTAGGTGGGAAATACAGTGCCTGCACTCTAAAGGAGGGATGAGGATGGAACAATTCAGAGGGTCATGTGAAGTGTGGTGTCAGTGCACTTCTGGCAAGACAGTAAGTGACTGAATAACTGTGGAAGGGTTTTCTCTATTATTGGGGTCATCCTACCTCTGTGAGAGACTGCTGGTGTGTTAAAAAACATTTAAGCCCATTTTATTTTATTACTTATTTTCTTCTCTGTTTTTAATGGCCAGCATTATGTTTTGTTTTGTCTAGTTCCCTTAATCATGTGAGATTATTTGTCTCTTTCTCTTTACAAAATTTTCCTTTTTTTTTTTTTTTAACATATCCTCTTTACCCTTTTCCCTTGCTTATTTCCATCCTACTTTTTTAATTTTTTAATTTTTTTTCAATGTCCCATTTTGCAATTTTCATATAGCCTTCTTGGACTCACTATCTCTGTGACATGCTACCATTCCTCATTATTTAAACTTTCTCTTCTTTTATGGCATTTTATGTACCTAATTTCACCCTTTACCATACACATGTATAGTTTTCCAAAATCTAAATTTACTTTCCCATGTTTGCTTTCATCTGTAAATTACATTCGCCTAAATTTTTTCCTCCCCAATATTTTTTAGTTTGTTGTTAGTATCTTCCTGACCCCATATTCTGCCTGATGTTCCCAATCCCTCTAGTATCTTCCTGACCCTATATTGTGTCTGATGTTACCAATCCATCTAGTATCTTCCAGACCCCATATTGTACCTGATGTTCCCAATCCCTCTAGTATCTTCTTGACCCCATGTGTCTGATGTTCCCAATCCATCTAGTCCTCGATGACGCACTGACTTTCTTGGGTTATCATGGGTGGCTAACCCTCCGGGGTTAAAAATCCGAACGAAATCTTATCTTATCTTAATCCCTCTAGTATCTTCCTGACCCCATATTGTGTCTGATGTTCCCAATCCCTCTACTATCTTCCTGACCCTATATTGTGTCTGATGTTACCAATCCATCTAGTATCTTCCAGACCCCATATTGTGCCTGATGTTCCCAATCCCTCTAGTATCTTCTTGACCCCATGTTGTGTCTGATGTTCCCAATCCATCTAGTATCTTCCAGACCCCATATTGTGCCTGATGTTCCCAATCCATCTAGTATCTTCCTGACCCTGTATTGTGCCTGATGTTCCCAATCCATCTAGTATCTTTCTGACCCTATATTGTGCCTGATGTTCCCGGTCCATCTAAAGCTTGGCTTGCCACTAACAACAGCCCTTTTTTTTTTTCTTTCCATCCCTTTTCTACCTGCCTGTGTTTGACCCTTCAGCATTTTGGAGGGGAAATTCAGGTAAGTTTGATTGTTAGTTTTTGTGCTGTATTATGCTTGAGTAGTTTGAGATGCTGTAAAGTGTAGCATATTTGTGCTCCTGCTTTCTAAAGTCTTTCATGAAATATGTAGTATGCTCTGTGTGTTATATATTTTTTAAAATTTACAAGAATAATAATAAACAGATGTAGGTGTCCCTCTCTTTATGCAGTACATGGGTTCCCAGCCATGGCAGCTGCAGTAATCTCAAAGTCAGATCATCAGAACTAAATTCTTTGTTATAGGATTCTTCATTGCATTTTACGAACTCCACTGATTGTGTAGGGTGAATTTATATTGCACATAAGGAATTACTGGTGGGAATGGGGCATTACATAAAAGCAAATTTACAAATAGCAAACCTGTATAAGGCGAGGGATTACTGTATTAATATTAACATGGCTCTGATATACTGCACTGTATTATAAATCTGTATGCTGATTTCTTAAAGTCTAGTCTCATAATAAAAAAAAATGGAATTTAAAGTACTTTGTATGAAAATTTTAACATGTGAAAAATTTGAACTGTTTTCCTGCTATATCCTGTTATTAACTTGTTTTTCTCTGCTCAGGGAAGCCCATGGTCTGCTGTCAGATGAAGAGGCACAGGAAGTGGTTCTTCTGCTGTCACCACAGGAACAAGACACCTCCAAATGTGTACCTCCAGTGCCTCCACACCATCCAGAAGCTGTGCCCAGCGTCCCTCCACACTACGCGGACACGACTACTGCAGTGCTCCCGCAGTACACTGAAGGTGCCCCTCCTGTTCCTTCACACTACACTCCTGGTGAGGATGAGTACGACACCCGGGTGGCCTCGCACTTTGATCCAACACTGACGTCTCCCCTCAGTCCTGAAGATGCGCCGTCAGAAGCAGATTCTTCGGAAACATCTGGGGACGTCTATCAAGTGTCTCGAGTTAAAGAAGTCAGTTGATGATTATATTTTACTTTTTTATTTAATTTAATATTAGTGTAGTGTAAGTCTTTTAATCTGCTCATTCAGCTACATTCTTCTCCCTCCAGCACTCTTCTTTCTCTTCCTGGTCTTCTCCTCTCCTTCCTTTTGCTCTCTACTCCTTCCCTCCTGCTCCTCTTTCCACCTGGTCCTCTAAGCAATCAAAATTTTATTATGACAAACAAATACAGGTAGTAAATTGTTAAAGTTAACAATTGTTTGCTATTATTTATTGGAATATAATTAGTCTTAATTTAGTTAATACTGTACAGTATTAAGTTTCTCTTTTAATTATTTTTGACTTTTAGTCCTCAAATTACCAGCCTATCCACTGGTCTGAATCCTAATCACTCCAATCAGTCGTTAACATTCTCAGCAAGTTACTTAAAAGGGACTAAAGCTAGAGCTTGTCACTGGCTGCTGGTCAGGTCTGGATTCTCTGCAAAAAATCACGGTTGCGTTGTTGTGCTTCTTCACAAAAGTTCGCAGTAAATCTTGCTGGATGACCCCTGTGACTCTGTGGTGCAGCGGCTAGTATTATCGGCTGCTAATTTTAACATTAGACTATACCACTCCCAATCACTATATCATTACATGTGTTAAGTGTAGATTCTGGTAACCAAATACCACACAGTCGAACACCACTAGCTTAGACTCGTTAAATCTGTTCGCTGGGATCGGTTCTCAGGAGTAAAACCAGGAAGTCTACCTTCTCTTCAAAATCAAAAAGTTTATTTCCATAAAATTCTGTTTTAGTTTCTAAGTTTTGGCTTAATTCATCTTCTACTTTTTAATTATTATCATCATCGTCGTCATCGTCATCATTATGATGGGGAAATGCTAAACCCTTAAGTGTCATACATCATCTGGAGATGGAGAGGTAATTAGGTTTGATCAAAGGAAACAGAGTATACTTTTTACAAATCTTTGATGGGTTTCAAGAATTTTATTCCTGTGGCCTAGCCTTGGGCCAGGATGCCTGGTGTTTGGTCAATCAGGCTGTTACTGCTGACAGCCCACTGGCCCACACATCCATCACAGCCTGGTTGATCAGTGCCTGGGAATTGGGAGGGAATCAGGTTTGATCCAAGAAAAGAGAGGGCAGTTCTAATTCCTTGGTTTCAGAGTCCTCTCAGCATCAAGCCACTCCCTCTTCCTTCTCTTCTTGTAAGGAAATGCTGCAGAAACTGAAGCTCTGTCAGTACATTAGTTCTTTACATGTTATTGATGTAGGAATTGAATTTGCAATCTATTTCCTTAGATTGAACCTAATTGCCACCCAGTTTCCTCAGGCGCTGTACGGCCCCCTACATGATTAGTGATCCCTTAAAGATCAAAAAAGTCACAATGCCGTGACTGGAACAATACACAAATAACTCATACACAAGAGAAAGAAACAGATGACAGTGTTGCAGTCCAGCTTGGGCCTCACGAATGTAATAATGATGACGATGATTATAATAATATGTTATTAATGTCTTTTAACATAACCACTGAATTTTAGGTTCTTGTGGAGGATGGAGTTCACTATTTGGAAGACGGTCACTTCTGGGTTGAAATTCCTGGCCTACCTGACGAGGATGAGGATGAGGATAACGACCCATCTATGCCATTCCATCCTCACACAAAGCTGACCTTCTCAAAGGACCCTGTACAGGTTTGTTAATATATGTAGAGATTTTTTCCTACTTAAAGTATGAGAAGAAGGTATTGAGCTGATATGGGAGGGTGGAGCAGGTGTCATATATGAACAAGTGGAATTAGTCATATAGCGTAACCTCAAAGAACTACCAGATGAACCAGATTTGAGATGGCTGTGTAGGACTGTGGGTCACAAGCAGCAACAGCCTGGTTGATCTGGCAATCAACAAGGCTTCTTCTACATGGGTAGAAGAAGCCTTAAATCTGTACTCAAGTATGTCACAGAAATGCTTTAGCGCCAGTATTTTTTTTCTGCATAAACCAAAAGTCAAGTAAGAAAGCATGAGAGAGAGAGAATGAGACTGGTGGTGAAACCTGGCTGTTATCTGTTAGTGGGTTTTGGGGATTATCTTCCCCATGGCCCAGTCTCAGACCAGGCTTCCTAGATTGGAAAAGAAATATTACAGGATAAATAATTATTAAGAAGCACATAGAAAAGTATTTAAGTAGAGGTTTGTAAGATTTACTTGCCATCTTACTGAGGCTACATACTGTACTTAGAGACACTGAAATTATGCAGTTGGATCATTGAGTGGCAAATGTGGTTTTTCTTATTTAGGTTACTCTGGTGGGAGATGAGCAGTGTGCTAATAAAGTAGTAAGGTGAAATGATAAGGAAGCTCTATGTAGGGATTCAAAAGGAAATATAATATGGCAAAGCTAATTCATGTCAGTCTTTTAATTAAAAAGCAGGACATTGATCTAGAGTAACTTTCCTACCAAGACAGGATGACCCAAAGGGGATAACATATTCATCATTCCATCTTCTCTAACAGTTGTTTTCCCAGTAAAGACAATGTAAAAAGAAGGAAAGCTTTTGCTGCTGCTGCCTTTTTTGGGTCGCCCTGCCTCGGTGGGAGACGGCCAGTGTGTTAAAAAAAAAAAAAAGAAATGTACTGCCTCTAACCTTTTCCATACTGCAACATTAAGAAATTGCATATGTAGATATGGACTTCCACAATATAGTACATCCCTAAATAAGTTGCACCAGTTTACCATGTATTGCACACATTGGTGTAGTTGGCCTTGATTTACCAACTTTTCTTAAAAAAATATGGGTGGGAATGTTACATTTCACATGGTCATTTGAACTGTGATCTTCACACTTCTTCCAAGGCAGTGTTAAATGAGTATTGGTGAATGCGTTTTCCTTCTTTGGAAATGGCCGATGTGGTAAATAAAACCACATAACGAGTCAGTCCTTAATGGCAGAGTTTTGTTATATTAATGTATTTGTGTAGCCATGAACTCTCTGAAGCTCAGAATGAGAGCCCATTGCATTTGTATTTTTTGCAGGTTTTTAGCACATACTCAGTAACGGAATATGATCGTAAGAATGACGATGTCGATCCTGTGGCTGCGAGCGCTGAGTACGAGCTGGAGAAGCGCGTTGAAAAGATGGATCTTTTTCCTGTTGAGATTGTTAAAGGTTAATACATCCATTTTGAACTGCAATTCCTGTTTATAATCTAGTGCATTACGATTTCTTGAGTCATGTGAATGTATAAATTAAACTCCTTATAAGTTTAAATTATTTTAATCATGGAGAAGCTCTAAACTTGTATGGGTTCATAGTGCCTGGGGCATGTGAGGTATTTGGTTTAATCTGAAGGGAAGAGTAGTTTCAGTTCCTTAGATCAAGAGTCACTACAATCAAGGCATCTTCCTTGTGAAGGACACTTGTGTAACAAATTAATGTTTTAGATATTCTTTCAAGGTGGATTCCTTGATGGTGAGATGCTCTTGATACCAAAAATTATAGGTATGCTTTCCTTCCTTTGATATGAGCTTAATTGCATTTAATTCCTGAGGTGCTATGTTTTCCCTGAGGGTTTAGTGTTTCCCCATGAGCATCATAATATAATCAAGACTTAGAAAGTTTTATAGTGGAACGCTCTACAGTAATATAAATACTCTGTGCTATATTGTGTTTCGTAATTGCTGAAAAAATACTGCAAGTTCTGAATAATTTGCCTAGAATTGTTAAAAGTTAAGTTAAATTATTTGATCATAGTTTTCTAGCTATTCAGAATCTGATGATACTCTAGGATATTAACAGAGGTGATTCTTGACATTTGCAGAAGAGCTTTGCATCCCAGTTTTGTCATCTAGTAGTGCCAGTAACAAATGGTACTTGTTTGTTTATTTATTAAATGGAATGACAGTTTTTCATCTTTACATAAATAATGTAGAATGCAAGAAAAAATGGATTTGTCATAGTAAGTGTATATAAGATGAAAAGCTGACTCCAGAGAAAAATGATGGAATCAGCAAATAAATCAGTGAATATTTTTCCTTGTCAATCCTTTAGTTTGCAAGACTCAGAGGTTAGAAGAATAATATAAGATTTAGATATATTTTGTGCCCAGTGCTTTTGCACTGGAACAATAGTCATTGAAAATAACAGTAGCTAAGCTTGTGGTATCCTCTCTTCAGTGTTTAGAGTATCATAAAATTGTTAAATCTTTAGTGGTTGTAGGACCTACTACATCCTCTTGTAAACTATTCCATTGATCATCCATTCTGTGAAGAAAAACTTTGTAGCATCATTTCAACAGCTCTTCCTCCATAGCAGTTTATAGTCTTAAGGAATCAAGAAATACTGGAGCAGAAAATCAACACTACTCTTTTTCAAAATTTTTATACTGTACAATGTTTGGCAGGTGAGGGAGGACTTGGTCTCAGTATCATCGGAATGGGTGTTGGAGCAGATGCTGGTGTGGAGAAGCTGGGCATATTCGTGAAGACCATCACTCCAGGTGGTGCTACAGAGAGAGATAGAAGAATACAGGTTAATGACCAGGTATGTTTACCTTGGGAACTGCATATATCTTTTATACAAATGTTATGCTTGTACTATATCATAAATAGTATTAAAACTGCCACATATATATTTTTAACAGTGAAAATACTTCGCTACATCTTACAGTAACTTATTACTGTGATAAAGTATTGACAAAAATGATGTTGATAATATACTACATAAAAAAATCTTGTTGAAGACCTGAACTCTCAGGAATCATAACAGCGCATAGGAATTGGGAGTTAATCAGTCATGTTCAAAGGAGGGGGACATTTGCTCCAATTCCTTGGATTAAAAACCCTTCAGCAGCAAAGCCCCCCTTCCCCCTTATTTTTATTTTGAAGAGAGTATTGATTGTAAATATACCAGGTATCACCGTGAAGTGTTTTAACAGGGAATGATCACTTATAATTATCATTAAACCAGAATATAAATTGTAAATGTAGATATCAGACATGGTAATTCTTGGCTTTTATAAATTTCTTTTTAGCAAACTATGACATGATCATATACCACATTGTTTATTCCAACTTGTTGCAGATCATTGAAGTTGATGGCAAGAGTCTAGTAGGAGTAACTCAGGTATTTGCTGCATCTGTCCTCAAGAACACCAGTGGTCGTGTTCACTTTCTTATTGGACGTGAGAAGGACCCTGAAAATAGTGAAGTGGCCCTCCTCATCAAACAGTCACTTCAGGTATCTTGTTCTACACACTAGAATTCTCTTATGCATTTACTAAGTCTCCTCCACTTAAGGGCAGGGTAGTGGGGAATGCATGTATGTACTCGCCTATGTAGACTTTCTAAATTGTGCTTAATGGAGAGTAAATATAGCTCCTGGCCCCCCCACCTTTTAACAGTTAACTGACTGGTATGACCCCTTCCCAGACCATAATGATTGTATCAACCTGTTTATGTGAATCCCTGTATAGATTACATTCTATACACTTACAAGCATCGAGGCCCCAGATGAGCCTGGCCCAAGGCTGGGCTCTATGAGTAGAAAAACTAGGATCACAAGTTTCTCTTTTATGTGCAAATTATTTGTACATTGTTCCAGTCTTGGTATTGTGCCTTTTTGTACTTTAAGGCACCATTAACTAGTGTATAAAATGTTCACAGTACCCTTATTACCCTATGGGTAATACAGTACATGGGGAGGTAATTAGTTTTGATCCAAGGAAGGGGAAGGTAATTAGTTTTGATCCAAGGAAGGGGAAGGTAGTTCCAGTTCTTAGGATTAAGGCACTTTCCCCCAGTCTTTCTCTCTAGGAGACACTGATAAATAATAACCAGTACAAGCTACGTTTCTTTACACTCTCAATTCTCTTATGAATAATAAGAGAGTTCAGACTATTTGACTAAACTGCTGTGCCAGAATATCAATATTGGTGGGTAATGGCTAATGTTGCTGTTTTTTTTTTTTTTCCAACAAGTTGGCCGTTTCCCACCGAGGCAGGGTGACCCAAAAAAGAAAGAAAATCCCCAAAAAGAAAATACTTTCATCATCATTCAACACTTTCACCACACTCGCACATTATCACTGTTTTTGCAGAGGTGCTCAGAATACAACAGCTTAGAAGCATACACATATAAAGATACGCAACATATCCCTCCAAACTGCCAATATCCTAAAACCCCTCCTTTAAAGTGCAGGCATTGTACTTCCCATTTCCAGGACTCAAGTCCGACTATATGAAAATAACCACCCAGGGAGGTACTACCGTCCTGCCAAGTGAGTGTAAAACGAAGCCTGTGATTGTTTTACATGATGGTAGGATTGCTGATGTCTTTTGTCTGTCTCATAAATATGCAAGATTACAGGTATGTCTTGCTACTTCTACTTACACTTAGGTCACACTACACATACATGTACACATTTATTTATACACACTCATCTGAGTTTTCTTTGATTTTATCTTAATAGTTCTTGGTCTTATTACTTTTCCTTTTATATCCATGGGGAAGTGGAATAAGAATCTTTCCTCCGTAAGCCATGCGTGTTGTAAAAGTCAACTAAAATGGCGGGAACAATGGGCTAGTAACCCCTTTTCCTGTAAAGATTACTAAAAAGAATAAGAAGAAGAAAATTGTTGCTGGTATTAGTCTAAATTGAGTATCGATATCTTTCTTTCAACACACCGGCCGTATCCCACTGAGGTGGGGTGGCCCAAAAGGAAAAACAAGTTTCTCCTTTTATATTTAGTAATATATACAGGAGAAGGGGTTATTAGCCCCTTGCTCCTGGCATTTTAGTTGCCTCTTACGACATGCATGGCTTGCGGAGGAAGAATTCTGTTCCACTTCCTCATGGAAAGTATCGGTATCTGTAGGTATTAAATAATTTTGATGATATCCATATTGGTAATTTTCTTATGTGTGAATGATGGTGAAAGTGTTTCTTTTTTGGGTCACCCTGCTTCGGTGAGAGACGGCCGGCGTGTTGAAAAAAAAAAAATCCATATTGGTATCAGTGGTTATCAGCTAATATACACTAGATGGTATCAGTATTGATCTAAGGTTAAGTTTTAGTATTGGTATTGGCAAGAATTTTGGTATCTCCCCACACTGATTAATTGTATGTATATACAAGTGAGAGTAACAAAAACTAGTACTGATATACAGAAGCCTAGCTGGAGTTGAATCCAGAATTAAGTATTTGTATAGTATATTGTGGAATGTTTGTTGGCATCGTCGCTTTTACAGTATTCACTGTAATGTAAGGAGCAGAAAAAAAGAAAATTGGATTTGGCAGCTTTAATTTGATATACTATATAATTGTATGATTTTTTTTTTTTAAAGTTACTTTGTCATGGTCACCTTGCTATGTATAACTTGTAAACTTACAGCCAACTTGTAGTATTAACTCTCAGACTAACAACCCTTTCTTGTTGTCAGTGATATTTCCATTCTTAGTCAATAATACATCTATAACAATACATTTTCTGCATTAAAATATGGAATATTTACTGAAGCAGCAGCACAAGAATTTTCAGTCTTGTGATTCATTGTATCCATAATTTAACAATTTAAAGAATAGTTAATTATCTTAACATTATTAATATTTTATTGGTATTTACTAATAGTTTTTATAACTTTATTTAAGGGTCGCCCTGCCTAGGTGGGCAACAGCCAATGTGTCACTAAAAATAACTTTATTTAATAGGCTGATCGTGAGCGAGAGGAGCGCCGCCGAGCATTGGGCGGGCCAGATTATGACCCTCACACAGGTCACGGTCTCTTCGACCCCTTGTCATCGCCTTCGGAAGAAAACTCCCGCTCAGAGGAAGCGTCTATGCAACACAACTACTCTTCGTACCTGGAGGGAGGCTCGTCCCCCACCTCGCCTGAAGCCACGTCTCCGCCTCCAGAAGTATTTGACTTGGAAGGCGACACGGACACTTCACCCGATAATGATGTTGCTATGCTTAAGTTGAAGTTGAAGGAGGTTCGTGAGAAAATATCTATCTCTTCCCTTACCCACGTAAATAGTCTTAGTACTCACACTTAAAATTATGTACAGTATTGATATTATTATAATCTTGGAAGTGCTAAATTCATAATGGTCGTTGAGAAGCTGAGGACTATGAATCATTAGTGTTGATCCAAGGAGAGAGATTATTATTATTTTATTCAGAATCCATAAGGGTAATATAGTGCCTGAGGAATGGGAGATACTTAGGTTTGATTCAAGGAGAGAGGGCAGTTCCAATTCCTTAGATCAAGATCCTTTCACTAGCATCATATCTTCTTCTTCTGACCCCCCTGTCTTTTTGAAAGGGTCAAAAGAAGGGAAGGGTAGGTCTAATTCCTTGTATTAAAAGTTCTCACCAACATTAAGTTACTCCCTATTTGGAGAGTTTAAAATTATTTAAAAACCAGTACTGATATACATAAACCTGAACAAAATTGAATACAGAAGTAAGCATTGTATAGTATTTTACGAAATGTAGGAAGGTAGCCGCTCTTCACAGCATTTCACAATTATGTAAGGAGTAGCAAAGAAAGTTGAATTTTGCAGCTTAATTATATTTTTTTAAATGTAAATAGACAGCTTTAATTGTATTATGATTCTGTAAATCTGTTAACTTGTAACCAACTTATGGTATCCAGTCAGACTAGTAACCCTTTCTTGTTGTTCATGATGGTTTCCACTGATTATGTACTCATTGTATTTCCATTATTTTGAATATAGATTTGATGTATAATTTAAACACAAGTACAGTGTGCAAGGTTTTTGAGTTTAGTGTAATTAATTGGCATTTTAGTTGCTAGAACCCTGATTGTATTTTTCCTCAGGTCCAATATAGAAATGCAGTCGCTGAAGCAGAAATTACGAAGCTGAAGATGACCGTAAGTTGCTCCAGTCATGCTAGACTACTATGAGGCCTCTCACTTTATACATATACTGATGACCTCATCGTGTAATGCTTTGCTTTATAGTTTTGGATATAGTTTTATAACCATTTATAATTGCAGCCTCTCCTCACTTAACAATGGAGTTCCATTCGTAAGACCACGTCGGTAAACAAATTCGTCGCTAAGTGAGAAGCATACTATAATGGTAGTGGGTTTGTGTCAGCCATCTTTGATATTGTTTTAATGCACCTTTGCACCATTTATAACATTTCTGGTATATTTTTACATGTTTATACAGTTGTGTACTGTATATTGTAATAAACAGAATACAGGAATTCAGCTCCAATATACATTGTTTAGGTATGCATACTGGTGAAAGCCTGTCATAAGTCCCAGTCATTGGTAAACAAGTAGTATGTCGCTAAGTGAGGAAGGGCTGTATTGCTTTATATAATAGTTATTTATTAAAGTAGTTATTTATTTAAGTAGGCCTTAGACAAGGATGTGTGATGTCACGGTGGTTGTTTAATATATTTATAGATGGGGTTGTAAGAGAAGTAAATGCGAGGGTCTTGGCAAGAGGTGTGGAGTTAAAAGATAAAGAATCACACACAAAGTGGGAGTTGTCACAGCTGCTCTTTGCTGATGACACTGTGCTCTTGGGAGATTCTGAAGAGAAGTTGCAGAGATTGGTGGATGAATTTGGTAGGGTGTGCAAAAGAAGAAAATTAAAGGTGAATACAGGAAAGAGTAAGGTTATGAGGATAACAAAAAGATTAGGTGATGAAAGATTGAATATCAGATTGGAGGGAGAGAGTATGGAGGAGGTGAATGTATTCAGATATTTGGGAGTGGACGTGTCAGCGGATGGGTCTATGAAAGATGAGGTGAATCATAGAATTGATGAGGGGAAAAGAGTGAGTGGTGCACTTAGGAGTCTGTGGAGACAAAGAACTTTGTCCTTGGAGGCAAAGAGGGGAATGTATGAGAGTATAGTTTTACCAACGCTCTTATATGGGTGTGAAGCATGGGTGATGAATGTTGCAGCGAGGAGAAGGCTGGAGGCAGTGGAGATGTCATGTCTGAGGGCAATGTGTGGTGTGAATATAATGCAGAGAATTCGTAGTTTGGAAGTTAGGAGGAGGTACGGGATTACCAAAACTGTTGTCCAGAGGGCTGAGGAAGGGTTGTTGAGGTGGTTCGGACATGTAGAGAGAATGGAGTGAAACAGAGTGACTTCAAGAGTGTATCAGTCTGTAGTGGAAGGAAGGCGGGGTATGGGTCGGCCTAGGAAAGGTTGGAGGGAGGGGGTAAAGGAGGTTTTGTGTGCGAGGGGCTTTGACTTCCAGCAGGCATGCGTGAGCGTGTTTGATAGGAGTGAATGGAGACAAATGGTTTTTAATACTTGACGTGCTGTTGGAGTGTGAGCAAAGTAACATTTATGAAGGGGTTCAGGGAAACCGGCAGGCTGGACTTGAGTCCTGGAGATGGGAAGTACAGTGCCTGCACTCTGAAGGAGGGGTGTTAATGTTGCAGTTAAAAACTGTAGTGTAAAGCACCCTTCTGGCAAGACAGTGATGGAGTGAATGATGGTGAAAGTTTTTCTTTTTCGGGCCACCCTGCCTTGGTGGGAATCGGCCAGTGTGATAATAATAATAAATATTTATTATACTAAAAGAGCAAGGTGATGAGGATAACAAAAAAATGTCTAGGTAATGATAGACTAAATATTGGATTGTAGGGGAGGAGTAATGGAGGAAGTGAATCGATTTAAATATTTGGAAGTGGATATGTCAGAAGATCCTAGGTAGTAGGTTGGTAAACAGCAACCGCCCAGGGAGGTACTACTGTCCTGCCAAGTGAGTGTACAACGAAAACCTGTAATTGTTTTACATGATGGTAGGATTGCTGGTGTCTTTTGTCTGTCTCATAAACATGCAAGATTTCAGGTATGTCTTGCTACTTCTACTTGCACTTAGGTCACACTACACATACATGTACAAGCATATATATACACACCCCTCTGGGTATTCTTCTATTTTCTTTCTAGTTCTTGTTCTTGTTTATTTCCTCTTATCTCCATGGGGAAGTGGAACAGAATTCTTCCTCCGTAAGCCATGCGTGTTGTAAGAGGCGACTAAAATGCCGGGAGCAAGGGGTTAGTAACCCCTTCTCCTGTATACATTACTAAATGTAAAAGGAGAAACTTTTGTTTTTCTTTTTGGGCCACCCTGCCTTGGTGGGATATGGCCGGTGTGTTGAAAGAAGAAAGATGTCAGAAGATGAGTCTATGAAAGACAAGACGAAACATGGACTAGATGAAGGAAAAAGGGTTGGCGATGTGTTGAATTATGTGTGGAAAAAAAGTTTATCTATGGAGGAAGAAAAATAAATGTACCAGAGTATAGTAGTACCAACTTATATGTGGATGTGAGGCATGAGTCTTGAATGTTGCAGCAAGAAAGAGGCTAGATGCGATGGAGATGTCATGTCTGAGAACAATGTGTGTTGTGAATGTTCATTTTTTTTTTATTAACACATTGGCCGTTTCCCACCAAGGCAGGGTGGCCCGAAAAAGAAAAATTTTCATCATCATTCGCTCTATCACTGTCTTGCCAGAGGTGCACTTTCACTACAGTTATCAAACTGCAACATTAACAACCCTCCTTCGGAGTGCAGGCATTGTACTTCCTATCTCCAGTCCAGCCTGCTGGTTTCCCTGAATCCCTTCATAAATGTTACCTTGCTCACACTCAAACAGCACGTCAAGTCCTAAAAACCACTTATCTCCATTCACTCCTGTCTAACACACTGACGCATGCTTGCTGGAAGTCCAAGCCCCTCGCACAAAAACCTCCTATACCCCCCCTCCAACCATTCCTAGGCTGACCTCTACCCCACCTTCCCTCCACTACAGATTTATACACTAAATCATTCTATTTTATTCCATTCTCTTTATATGTTTGAACCACCTCAGTAACCCCTCCTCAGCCCTCTGAATAATAGTTTTGGTAATCCCACACCACCTAACTACAAATTCTCTGCATTATATTCACATCACACATTACTATCAGACATGACATCTCCACTGCCTCCAGGCTTCTCCTTATTGTAACATTCACCATCCATGCTTCACACCCATGTAAAAGCATTGGTATAACTATACTCTAATACATTCCACTCTTTGCTTCCATGTATAAAGTTCTTTGTCTCCACAGACTCCTAAGTGCACCACTCACCTTTTTCTCCTCATCAATTCTTTGATTCACCTCATCTTTCATAGACCCATCTGCTGACACGTCCACTCCAAAATATCTGAATATATTCATCTCCATACTCTCTCCCAGCAATCTGATATCCAGTCTTTCGTTATCTAATTTTTTTGTTATCCTTATCACCTTACTCTTTCCTATATACACTTTTAATTTTCTTCTTTTACATACCCTACCAAACTCGTCCATCAACCTCTGCAACTTCTCTTCAGAATCTCCCAAAAGCACAGTGTCATCAGCAAAGAGAAACTGTGACAACTCCCACTTTGCATTAGATTCTTTATCTTTTAACCCCACACCTCTTGCCGACACCCGAGCATTCATTTCTCTTACAACCCCATCTGTAAATATATTGAACAACCATGGTGATATCACACATCCTTGTCTAAGGCCTACTTTTACTGTTCTTTTTCTCTCTTGTAGTATTTTCTGCAGGAGAAGGGGTTACTAGCCCATTGCTCCCAGCATTTTAGTTGCCTCATACGACATGCATGGCTTACAGAGGAAAGATTCTTTTCCACTTCTCCATGGAGAATAGAGGAAATAAAGGAGAACAAGAACTATTTAGAAAAAGAAGAAAACTCAAGATGTGTGTATGTATATATATATGCATGTGCCTGCCTGTGTAGTGTGACCTAAGTGTAAGTAGAAGTAGCAAGATATACCTGTTATCCAGCATGTTTATGAGACAGAAAAGAGGGAATATTATGTAGAGAATTTGGAGCTTAGAAATTGAAAGGCAGTGTGGGGTCACTTCAGGAGAACTGAAGAGGGGTTGTTGAGGTAGCCTGGAACTGTAATGAGGATGGAGAAGAATAGGTTGATGAAGAGGGCGTATAAATCTTGAATGGAAAGTAAGAGGGTTAAGTGTGGTCCCAGGAATGGTTGGAAGGAGTGGGTAAAAGAGATGGCCTTGGGTTTAAGGAGGTTGCAGAAGTGCTGCAGACTTACGCTTTTTTGTTTTTTGACAGTTGCTGGAAATGGAGAAGGTTGTAACCGAGAATACGCAATATACTAGTCAGCTCCTCGATGCCCAAAATAAAATGGTGGAAATGGACTGTCAGTTGCAGTCCAAGCTTTCCGAGGTGTCCACCTACCAGGACATGTTGGAGCAATCTCAGGGACAGTTTATTGTCTTAGAAAAGAAGTATTATAAAGCCAAAAAAATTATAAAAGGTAAAGAATCTTTTGGAATATGTATATTTTAAAAATAGTTTATATTTTGTTATTCTTGCCATTTTTATCCTTTTTTCCAGTAAATACTTTGGTAACTTTTACATTATTATACAATTCACCATCTTGTCTCATACATTGCACAAACAACAGTTAAAGGTGTGTTGGCTTTAATGAAGTATAATTTTTTAATCCTAGAATATCAGGGTCGAGAGAGAGATTTCCTTCACCGTGAGGAATATCACATAACCCAGCTTGAGGAGAAGGATTCTCACTATAATGCCCTTGTGAAGGCATTGAAAGATAGGGTGAGTCTCTTGGGTAATCTTCAAAATCTAATAATTAGGTTTAACTTTATTACACTTAAAATATATTAGAAAAAAAAAGGGAGTTAATAACCGTTCAATCTTTATTTTCATTCCCTTGTTATATTGCATTTATTTCTAACTTTATTTAAAGACTGAGGCAACTGGTTTTCATTATTACATGACTTAATCATAAATCTTGAAAACTGTGGCCTGTAAACTAGTTCTTAAAATCTCTGACCACTGAATATCATATCACATTCTTGACAGGTAATCAGCTTGGAAGCTGAACTGACAAATGCTCAGAAGAAAGCTGGCTTACCTGTCCAAGTGCCGACTGACACCACTACTCAGCCAGCATATTGGAACCTCCAGCAGAGCACTCAGTCTGCCCTTGCCAAGGTATAACATGTGATCAATGAGAAAAATAAGGTTACCTTCCTAGAATCTAAACTAAATATAAATACTATTTGTATGCATATTTATGAAGCAGTAAATAAGGTATATGTAAACTTAATTATCCTCTTGATGAAATCACTGGCACTAGATTTAGAGAAATGTTCAATAATATTAAATAGCTGTTAGATTTGGAGGAAGTGGAAATAGGAATCAACCTACTGGTCTGTTTGAGTGTTCATGTGTCTGTATGTGTGTGAGAGTGAGTGAGTATGAGTGAGAGAGCACAAGTGAGAGAGATGGAGAAAAAGTGCAGCACAAATGAGAGGGAGAATGCACAAGAGGAGGATGAGAGAGAGAGAGAGAGAGAGAGAGGAGAGAGAGAGAGAGAGAGAGAGAGAGAGAGAGTGCAAACACCACTGTGTCAAGGGAAGACAAGTAAAAGGACAACACATCCTCTGTTGAACATTACTCAGTGATATTTGGCAGTGTAAAGTTAAAAGGGAAACTTTAGCCCAGCAAAAGTAGGCTTTGGCCAGAGATATATAATTTCATTCACTTTACCCACAGATACCATTTCATTTGTTCTCCATCCTACTCTTACCATAGACATAACTTAATAATGACCAGACACATCAGTTGCTCCTTTAAAAACATGTACATAATTCCAGAAGTTTAGCCTTCATTATTTTAAGCATTTAACAGATACCTTAACAAGCTGCTGTATTTGCTCACTTCACTATACTGTATCTACCTTTTTTCTTCGTAAACATAATTAAAGGCTCGCCATTGTTATTTACCTCTGGCACCTCAGATTTTTTAACCAGTTTTCCACCTTAGCATTAGGGTCTCTCTCAACAGTTATATTCTTGCTTGGTTCAAAACTCCCTAAACATTTGCTTAACAATAAGCAGTAGTTGAGAGTGGATCTCAGTGACATAATCATATGTACAGGTGTTCATCATCTTCATGTTCACTTTGATGTTGAACAGGTTTGAGAATTTACCATCATCTCTTCAGCTAGGTCACATTACAGTTAATTTGTTGTTATGTATTTGTGAATGCTTTTTAATAAGTAGACTTGAATTAGTGCACCACAGTATTGCAAACCTGTTGAAATTTCTGACTTTTAAGGCTCATAACTGTTACAGTATATTGTAAGGTTTTGAGTTTTTAGAGTAAATATTGTTAGATTATACTTGGTGATAAGAAGACAGTTATTAAAACTGAAGATTATTGGATAAGTGTGCCTTACTGTTTGTGTATGGGTAATGGAGTGCCTTTTTACTGTTATTATTATTCTCTTGATTTACAGACATTTCAGGCATGTAATATTTTTTATAATTGCCAAATGCATTTTATAGTTTATGTAAATATTAAGTTATTTCACAATGACTTTGGTTGATAACTTAAATGTATGATCAAGTTGAAGAGATGAACTTTTCACTTTTTTTGTGCACGTTATTGTGTGTTGTGCGCCCTGCCTGTGGTAGTTGATCAGTAGATTCTCACATTGTGTTGTGCACCCTAGACTGTAGTAGTTAATGATGAGTAGATCCTTACCATCCATGAGTGTTGCTGCATGAAGCACGTAGACATGTCTAGATTGCTCATGTTGATGTTCGTCTTTCTCTTCATACAGAGTGATTTGGTACTCTTGTGCACTTAGACTTACGGATCCAAGCATGTGCCCGTGCCTGTCAAGCCATCTTTTACGCTACTCCTTATTCTTCTTCACAAAGCATTTGCTCTAAATTTTCTATCAGCCTGCATCTTACACTATACCTGGATATTTTGCACATTTTCATATATTTTAGACTGAAGTAGCAAACTGCACTGCTGAATGACAAATGTATGCTATATACAGTTGCAGCAGGTGTACCCAATTTTCACTGCCCTAGCAGTGAAAGCATACATCTGTCATGATCACTGGTACAGTGACATGACTGCATTGACCAGTGAAAGTATACGTCTGACATCACTACCTCGGGAAGGCGTATTTATCCTCCAAACATCCTGTTGTTCTGTTCAGGACAATTGATACACGTTTTAACCCTTCAGCCCACGTTTTGCATATTACTTTAATGTTTATTATTTTTGCGTGTTTTAACTTCTATGGAAACAGTAATTCTGTTGATGGAATACTACGCTATTTTTAATTAAAGTTTTAGATAGTGTCATGCTAATATTTTGCTAATGACATTCTCAGTATATACGTAATTTGTATGTTTGCTGATTTTTTCAGTGGCTATAAATGTAATTTTGAATAATAACCCTGTTTTCAGGTTTGGATTCTTCTGATTTTATAACATTTGATATTGTTAAATATGTTACATGTTTCCCAACAAGGAAATACATTCTCTATTACTTGCTCTGTAGTTTTCTAGAAATACAGACATAATTCAGTGATGACCCAGCAAACTGCAACATGCTCACCTGACTTACACAGTTTGAGCACGGTGTCTTGCCTTCAAAACTCAGATCTGGTTAGCTGATTTTCCTGAATCCTTTCTAGAATCCCTTCATAGATATTATCACATTGACACTCGAACAGCACATCGAATCCTGACGTCCATGCACCTTCTGTTTCGTACAGTGTTATATTAAAGTATTTCATTACATAACCACTTCTCCTGTATAAATTACTAAATTTAAAAAGAAAAACTTTTGTTTTTCTTTTTGGGTCACCCTGCCTCGGTGGGATGCGGGCGGTTTGTTGAAAAAAATAAATACATAATATGAATGTATTTTGTGAGCAAACGAATTTAGAACTTACATCCACATTGAATTCCTGAATATATAAAGTGCACAGTGTCTATAGTAGTATGTTCTTCAATGAACAACATTGACACCCTGTTATTTAGTATTGTTAATGTGTTCTTAGTAGCCTGTCATGTAATTCACACTTCAGTTTGTCAAGAATTTCAGTCCTCATAGAGTGGTATGAAATCAAATACAGTGGACCCCCGGTTAACGAACTTTTTTCATTCCAGTAGTATGTTCAGGTGCCAGTACTGACCGAATTTTTTCCCATAAGGAATATTGTGAAGTAGATTAGTCCATTTCAGACCCCCAAACATACACGTACAAACGCACTTACATAAATACACTTACATAATTGGTCGCATTTGGAGGTGATCGTTAAGCGGGGGTCCACTGTAGTTGTTACAGTTCCCGGGTAGTGTATGTCATGGTTTGTGCTTGTCTCATAAAACCTCTTGTTTGGGGTAGAAATGAATGTGATACCTTGGACAGTAAGAAAGAAATAGTTGTCCCATAAATAACAGCCATAATAGTGTTAGGCTGAATTCACTATAATTATATTCACTTGTAAGAATCATACAGAGGCTAGGCAATGGGAGGTAATTAGGTTTGATCTTAGAAATGAGAGGATAGTTGCAATTCCTTAAATTTAACTGTCTTTGATTAGCATCAGTGTATATCCATTGAAGGAGTAAAAAAAATATAGCCTTGTTGTACTGAGCCCTGCTGAAATAATCTTGTATGGTGTTTTTATATTCTCCAAATGATAAAACATTATTTATCAGCCTCTTGGGTGCATTTATAACATATCCAAATTAAGGTGTTTAAAGTTCTTGTAGAAACTTTTTGTATACTTTTTTATTAATCTTTTTTATGTAGCATTCTTGAAAATGCACTTAACAGTTGAGGTGTTAGAGTTTAACTAATGTGAATTTGTGTGTTTCTCTTTGTAGTCAGCTGTAATTTATTAGGAGTAATCTGCAATGTTGAGCCTTTCCTGTTAGCATACTTCCCAACATTATGCACTGTAGTTACCTTATATTATTATATTACATATATGGTACATGTATGAGGAAGCTAAGTCTGTAGGGGAGTCAAACAGAACCTGAGAAATGGGAGATAATCACATTTGATTCAAGGAAGGGGAAAGTAGATCTAATTCCTTGGACCAAGAAGCATTCCCTGGCATGAGGACACCTCCTTGAAGGGTAGTTAGCCTATAAAAATCTCTATTACTCTAAAAATTAAAATAAGTGTAATATTAAGTTACATGCCTTGCAGAATATATCTTATAGGCTAGTCTAGCAATCTATAAGTAGAAAATGCCAGGAAAGTGTGAGAGAATAATAATTGTAAACCTTGTATATAGAATTTACTAGTTCACCCTTAAAACCCAAGGTATTTTTCGTCAATGTTTACTGTCCAAGGATGCTTATCAGCTTTCCTGTTCTGATCCTGCTGCTATATTTGATGCTCACTCTCTCACGCACCGCTCAAACGCTCGCATACCCTTCCTTGCCTGTTTAGCAGCCTCCCCGCAAGCCCAGCCTGTGCACGCTCGACCCAGAGATATCGGATACGGAAACGTCCGACATCGGCATGTCAGAGGGCGACAAAGCTAACACCGTAGAGCGAAAGGTAGGTTAGTGTTGGGATGTTTAGTGTATGTGGAACCTTAATACATTTAAAGGATGTATTGTTAATAATGCATACATTACTACAGGTGCAGGTCCTGGCTTTAGTATTATACATTATGTATTAAATAGCAAGTGTATTTTGTTAATACGTATTAAATAACAAGTGTACTTTGTTTAGATTACTTATATAATACTATTTTATTATTTTTTTATAGGTTGCTTAATGGCTGGCTTTAATAGTGAAAGGTATAACTTCTCTTACAGTAATGTAGTAGGTATGTTGGCACATAATGGCTTGAATATGAAGACTAGAGGTCACAGATCTGTGGCTGGAGCAGTTCACAAATAACCTACAATTTGGAGAGGAAACTTGAGACTATGTTTTTGGCCATTATCAAGTTACAGAATAAACCAACTTGATAATGGTCTAAGATGGACCAAGATGACATCTAAACTTTCCTCTCCAAGCTGTTAGTATGAGTATAAAAACTGCTAAATGTATTTTTCACTTTTTTATATCAAATTATTATTATTAAAAAAACAATCATTAAGCTTTTTTTTTTTAAGTGAGTTTTAACATTTGTATGGTCATAGATATGAAATTAGCTTAAATTATAATGCTTAATTGTAGCATGTAACTTCAGTGCAGTTTAATTATAGTACATACATGGTTGAGGAAGGAAATAAATGTGGGATAGACATGTAAGCTGTACGTAGTAATTTACAAGTAAAGTTTCAGTTTTATGAGAATTCATAAATATCATTTTAACCCTTAAACTGTCCAAACGTAGATCTACATTCACATGTGTAGCGCTCCGACCTTGATTTTCCTCATTTGAAAGCATGAAAAAAACATAGATCTACGTTCAGAGCCTGCCGCACGTCAACGTATATCTATATTTGCACAGTTTAAGGGTTAATGAAAGAAGTTTTAGCATTGAGAGGACATTAAAATAATACGAATTTAAATATCATTGAAGAGTCTTTAAAAATTTTCATTTGTACTGCAAATGTAGGCAGCGAATAGTTTCTTGAGAGAATGTCAAAAGCTCTAACAGATCTACAGTAAAGTAAGGCAAGAATTCATTTCAAGTGTTAACACGCACTTATTTTTTTCAGTTACCAGTAAAGGAGGAGCTGGACGAGGCAGTGCCACCACACGAGTTACTGGATGTTTCGGCAAGTCGTGCCAAGGGGGAGCTGGCATCGCGTGGTGGTCTGGCCAACCGTCACCTGCCTTCCCTCAAGAAGACAACCAGCATGAGTAGTGCTAGCAGTCAGGTTAGCAAGCAAACATTAAGAACTCTACACAAATAACACACACATAGGAGAGACAAGCTTGCAATAACGTTTCGGTCTTATTGGACCATTTACAAGTCACACTAACCCAAAAGAGCGAGGAAGCCAGTATATATAGATGAGGGGGGGGGGGTCCACACAAGGGTGGGACAATGAGAGGAAGAAAAAGATGAAGTGGTAGTGGTAAGAACTCAATAGTACAAAGGTTTCCAAAGCTAGGGTAGTTTTACAACAAACACCCAACTTGAATATGAACTCAAGAAATTCACATAATCCATGGCATGGCATACTCCCAATTTTTCCTACCTTCAACTTTTCTGAGAACTGCAATTTTTGGTCAGCTCCTCATGCAAAGAAACATGGCAAGCTGTTAGGTCAGCATGAGAAATGACGAGTAAAATTGCCTCAGTAAACTGCTCTCACAGTTCTGCGCAGGGAATGTGCTGATTCATGTGATAAGGACAAACATATGCTAATATGAAATGTAAACATGCCAGCACCAGCTGTAGTGCCAAGAAATATTGCACTGCCAGCAACACTTGCAGGTTTGCACACCCAGCAACCCCACCACCAGCTGTGCTTACATGTTGCACTGCCAGTATCCTGACACCACCAGCTACATGTGTGTTGCACCACCAGCATCCTGATACCACCAGCTACACTGACATGTTGCACCATTAGCACCCAGATACCACCAGCTACACTTATATGTTGCACCACCAGCTACACTGACACCACCCCAGCAACACTGTCTACCCTTTTTGATAGCACTTCTTAATAATTTTTGTTTGATCCATTGTTCTATATTTAGCTTGTATTCATTAGCTACTTTGTGGAAAGCTTTGATTAACCCTTAAATGGTCCAAACGTATATATACGTTTTTTCAACATTTGAAAGTATGTAAAAAAATGTAGATCATCTTTTTTCTTTTTCATTTGAAAATGTGTAAAAAACTTTTATCTACATTTGTTTTTTTGTTATGTTCGATATGTAAAAAAAACGTAGATCTACGTTTGGAGCACTACGGATTTGAACGTCGATCTGTTTGGACCGTTTAAGGGTTAATAAATACAGTATATTCTTTGAAAATTAATCTATTTGTTCTGTTATAATATGCTTTCATTACTTTATTTTACATTTACATTTACTATTTGAATGTTTATGCAGCATCAAAATATATCATAGAGGCAATAAGTTGGCAAACAGCAACCCTCCAGGAGGGCACTACCATCCTGTACTGTAGTGTCTACATAAGACAGGTGGAGAATGAGATGCTTGTTCAACATTCAGAAATCTTTGAGGCAATGTTTCGCCAGGCATTGGCTTCTTCAGTCCAATACAGAGAAAAACGGGACTGATTCTCCTCATCTTTCACTATTTTTCTGTGTATTGAACCAAAGAAGCCACTGGCTGGTGAAACGTTTCCTCAATAAAGATTTCCAAAAGTTGCACAAGTGTCTCATCCTTCAGCTCATTGATTTTCTAAACCATTTCACCACACAGTAGTTGGTAAACAGGTTATTTGTGTATATATATCTTCCTATCATTTGTTTGTGTGAAAGAGATGCCTGTTAGTTATGCACTCTGGCAGGACTGCTAGTCATTTTTTCTTTATCTTATAAATATGTAAGTGCATATTTGTAAGAGAAGTAAATGCGAGGGTCTTGGCAAGAGGCGTGGAGTTAAAAGATAAAGAATCACACATAAAGTGGGAGTTGTCACAGTTGCTCTTTGCTGATGACACTGTGCTCTTGGGAGATTCTGAAGAGAAGTTGCAGAGATTGGTGGATGAATTTGGTAGGGTGTGCAAAAGAAGAAAATTAAAAGTGAATACAGGAAAGAGTAAGGTTATGAGGATAACAAAAAGATTAGGTGATGAAAGGTTGGATATCAGATTGGAGGGAGAGAGTATGGAGGAGGTGAATGTATTCAGATATTTGGGAGTGGACGTGTCAGCGGATGGGTCTATGAAAGATGAGGTGAATCATAGAATTGATGAGGGGAAAAGGGTGAGTGGTGCACTTAGGAGTCTGTGGAGACAAAGAACTTTGTCCTTGGAGGCAAAGAGGGGAATGAATGAGAGTATAGTTTTACCAACGCTCTTATATGGGTGTGAAGCATGGGTGATGAATGTTGCAGCAAGGAGAAGGCTGGAGGCAGTGGAGATGTCATGTCTGAGGGCAATGTGTGGTGTGAATATAATGCAGAGAATTTGTAGTTTGGAAGTTAGGAGGAGGTGCGGGATTACCAAAACTGTTGTCCAGAGGGCTGAGGAAGGGTTGTTGAGGTGGTTCGGACATGTAGAGAGAATGGAGCGAAACAGAGTGACTTCAAGAGTGTATCAGTCTGTAGTGGAAGGAAGGCGGGGTAGGGGTCGGCCTAGGAAAGGTTGGAGGGAGGGGGTAAAGGAGGTTTTGTGTGCGAGGGGCTTTGACTTCCAGCAGGCATGCGTGAGCGTGTTTGATAGGAGTGAATGGAGACAAATGGTTTTTAATACTTGACGTGCTGTTGGAGTGTGAGCAAAGTAACATTTATGAAGGGGTTCAGGGAAACCGGCAGGCCGGACTTGAGTCCTGGAGATGAAAAGTACAGTGCCTGCACTCTGAAGGAGAAGTGTTAATATTGCAGTTTAAACTGTAGTGTAAAGCACCCTTCTGGCAAGACAGTGATGGAGTGAATGATGGTGAAAGTTTTTCTTTTTCGGGCCACCCTGACTTGGTGGGAATCGGCCAGTGTGATGATAAAAAAAAAAATGTAAGTGCAGCAGAACCCCCATTTCCATTGATTCGCTATCCGCGGTTTCAGTTACCCATGGTTTACTGTGGCCCAAAAATACCTCTTAATTTTACATAATAATGGCCCTGCAGCAGTAGAGAAGCTGGCACTTCTTCAAAGCCTAAGAGAAGCTGTGAAGTGCTTTCCATCAGTGAAAAAGTGATAATTCTCCACTGATTGTGCATAATATATCATTCAAACTTTATATAAGGTATGTATAGGTTTGCTACTATCCATGGTTTCGGTATCTGCGGCAGGTCCTTGGAATGGATCTCTGTGGATACGGGGGTATAAGGTAAATCTCACACACCTCTACTTGTATTCATTATACACTTTCCTTTACATTCTTGAGGTTTCTTAATAGCTTTTATTGCTGTATTACTGTGTAACTTTGCCAGTTTAGTAAGTCTGGTCCAAGATGATGCTGGAGTAATGGGGAGAGAATGATTCTTGAAACCATTAAAGGATATACAGTATTTCTTTTGTATGAAATTCATTACTGTATATAAACTTTTTTCTCACAGGACCAGAGCTTAGATGATAGCAGCCTTGATGAAGAGCTTCCTGAAGCTGTTAAACCTCCACCACCAGCCGAAGCTACTCAAGATGGGCAACAGGATCAGGGGAGCCGGAGGTCAGCAGAACCCCAGGAGTCTTCCCTACCCCCTCATAGTCCTCCTCCTGCCACTAGCAGCATAACCCAAGCCAAGTTGCCCCAGCCTCCTTCATATACCCAAGCAACTATGGGGAGCATGAGCCATTTAGGTAGCCCCCCTCCTTACCACCATCCTCCAATCCAGTTTGCCTCACCACGACAACCCTTCACCCCATCTTATGTAACGTCTGACCCGTCCATTGGTCTGCCTACTAGACCCCTGGGTGGCAGTACTGATGTGCAGACACATCAGTCACGATCAGAGTCCCGTCCTGAGATCCCATATCGTCACCCCCCTCCTGTTGCCCGAGTACAGCCAGTCAACCGTGCAGAAATTTCTGAATCTGCTAGCTTGGCTGCACACTTGGCCAATCGCACACCTCAGCAGCAGAGTTTAGCTGAACAGCTGAAGGCTTTGTTAGCTGAGAGGTGAGAAAGATGTTATGTTTCAAGGTTACCATATATACATCTTAAATGACAATAATAGTAGCGTGCACACACTACCACTAACTTTCACTTTACACTATTCTACACAAGTCATTAAGAATTAACACCTTTCACTTTCATTAATTCAAATTTGGTTAATATTTTCTGTCTTCCTATTTTCTCCCTTTCCTTTCGTTCTTTCTTTTGCCTTTTTTTTTATGTGGGAAAATAATCCTTTATATGTGCAGTTGGAAGTTTGATTTTCATATTAAGATATTTATATTTAAGATGTATTTAAATTTGTTTTGCAATTTTGTGACTATGCATGAGCGATAAATTAGATATTACCATAATTTCTCCTTTAAAACAATTTCCATATAATTTAGGAAGTAATTTTGTTACTATAAAGATACAATACTTCTCTTTTGAATATCAGGCAAACCAGTATTGTCAGTTTAGTGTTTATCTTTAATTGATAAATGGTAAAATTTTGAAGGAAAGTCATTCCACCCTATATAGTTGCTTCTTCATCCTCTCTTCCTGACCTGTTCTCTGCTCCTTTCTACCTTTTCCTCCTCTCTAAAAATGAGTTACGTATTTGTGAATTGTCCCAGTCATGGTATTGTGACTTTATTCGTCACGCCTAGAAATTTAATGTGATACAGTGGAACCTCGATTTTCAAGTGTCCCAAGATACGAGTTTTTGAGTTACGAGCCATCACTTGGTTAATTTTTTGCCGAGTTATGAGTAAGCTTCCCCTGCTTCCCCCTCAACCCACTTCGCTTGTTTATCTATGATTTCTTGCTTTAATTCCATGGACATCATCATCATTTTCTTCTCAGCACTGTCCTTTGCACTTACTTTCTTAGGACCCATGGTTAGAAAAAAGAAATTTGGCAAAATAACTACACAAAATGCAAGCAAAACACAAGAGAAATTATTCCACAGTAAGGTAAACAGTGCACTGCGCCAGTTGGCTGCTTTCTGAAGTTCCTCGTTATTATTATAATAATAATTATTATTATTCTTCTTTCTTTCAACACACTGGCCGTATCCCACCGAGGTGGGGTGGCCCAAAAGGAAAAACGAAAGTTTCTCCTTTTACATTTAGTAATATGTACAGGAGAAGGGGTTACTAGCCCCTTGCTCCTGGCATTTTAGTTGCCTCTTACAACACGCATGGCTTACGGAGGAAGAATTCTGTTCCACTTCCCCATGGAGGTAAGAGGAAATAAACAAGAACAAGAACTAGTAAGAAAATAGAAGAAAACCCAGAGGGATGTATATATATGCTTGTACATGTATGTGTAGTGTGACCTAAGTGTAAGTAGAAGTAGCAAGACGTACCTGAAACCTTGCATGTTTATGAGACAGAAAAATGGACACCAGCAATACTTCTTTTTCTTTCTTTCAACACACCGGCCGTATCCCACCGAGGCGGGGTGGCCCAAAAGGAAAAACGAAAGTTTCTCCTTTTACATTTAGTAATATATACAGGAGAAGAGGTTACTAGCCCCTTGCTCCCGGCATTTTAGTTGCCTCTTACAACACGCATGGCTTACGGAGGAAGAATTCTGTTCCACTTCCCCATGGAGATAAGAGGAAATAAACAAGAATAAGAACTAGAAAGAAAATAGAAGAAAACCCAGAGGGGTGTGTATATATGTGCTTGTACATGTATGTGTAGTGTGACCTAAGTGTAAGTAGAAGTAGCAAGACGTACCTGAAATCTTGCATGTTCATGAGACAGAAAAAAGGACACCAGCAATACTACCATCATGTAAAACAATTACAGGCTTTCTTTTTACACTTGCTTGGCAGGACGGTAGTACCTCCCTGGGTGGTTGCTGTCTACCAACCTACTACCTAGAATAATTATTATTATTATTAATCATAGAATTGATGAGGGAAAAAAGGTGAGTGGTGCGTTGAGGTATATGTGGAGTCAAAAAACGTTATCTATGGAGGCAAAGAAGGGAATGTATGAAAGTATAGTAGTACCAACACTCTTATATGGGTGTGAAGCTTGGGTGGTAAATGCAGCAGCGAGGAGACGGTTGGAGGCAGCGGAGATGTCCTGTTTAAAGGCAATGTGTGGTGTAAATATTATGCAGAAAATTCGGAGTGTGGAAATTAGGAGAAGGTGTGGAGTTAATAAAAGTATTAGTCAGAGGGCAGAAGAGGGGTTGTTGAGGTGGTTTGGTCATTTAGAGAGAATGGATCACAGTAGAATGACATGGAAAGCATATAAATCTATAGGGGAAGGAAGGCGGGGTAGGGGTCGTCCTCGAAAGGGTTGGAGAGAGGGGGTAAAGGAGGTTTTGTGGGTAAGGGGCTTGGACTTCCAGCAAGCGTGCGTGAGCGTGTTAGATAGGAGTGAATGGAGACGAATGGTACTTGGGACCTGACGATCTGTTGGAGTGTGAGCAGGGTAATATTTAGTGAAGGGATTCAGGGAAACCGGTTATTTTCATATAGTCGGACTTGAGTCCTGGAAATGGGAAGTACAATGCCTGCACTTTAAAGGAGGGGTTTGGGATATTGGCAGTTTGGAGGGATATGTTGTGTATCTTTATATGTTTATGCTTCTAGACTGTTGTATTCTGAGCACCTCTGCAAAAACAGTGATAATGTGCGAGTGTGGTGAAAGTGTTGAATGATGATGAAAGTATTTTCTTTTTGGGGATTTTCTTTCTTTTTTGGGTCACCCTGCCTCGGTGGGAGACGGCCGACTTGTTGAAAAAAAAAAAAAAAAAAAAAAAAATTATTATTATTAATTTAGGGAATTGGATCTGTGCTCCAGTTCCCTAAATTAATAATAATAATAATAATGAGTGAGCTTCAGTTCCCTAAATTAATAATAATAATAATACTTAGGAGCTTCAGAAAGCAGCCAGCTGGTGCAGTGCACTGTTTACCTTGCTGTGGAAGCATTTCTTTTGTGTTTTGCTTGCATTTTGTGTAGCTATTTTGCCAAATTTCTTTTTTCTAACCATAAGTTCTAAGAAAGTACAGTGGACCCCCGGTTAACGATATTTTTTCATTCCAGAAGTATGTTCAGGTGCCAGTACTGACCGAATTTGTTCCCATAAGAAATATTGTGAAGTAGATTAGTCCATTTCAGACCCCCAAACATACACGTACAAACGCACTTACATAAATACACTTACGTAATTGGTCGCATTCGGAGGTAATCGTTATGCGGGGGTCCACTGTAAGTGCAAAGGACAGTGCTGAGAAGAAAAAGATGATGATGTCCATGGAATTAAAGCATGAAATCATAGATAAACAGAAGCGAGGTGTGCGAGTTTTTGCGAGGCAGTATGAGCGTAGTATGTACTTCTACTATGCTGGTACTGTCTCGCATTAAGAGTGTAGCAATTAAGTTCAGTGATAAAGTGTAGCATTAAGAGTGTAGCAAGTAGCCTATCTTCCACCCTCCACCAGTGTACATACACTTTATAAAACCAGTTTATTTCTTTACATTCTCTATTATGTTTTATTGTTTTTATGCAGTATTTCTTATTTATAAATACATTGTTTCAGTGTTTTTATGAAACTAGTGATCTAGTGCAGTTAGCCTCACAAACACTCAATTTTCAGAATGGGAAGATATGGTCAGTGTGGCAGCGGCAATGGCCGACACCACTTGTCATATTATGGCCTATTTTATTCATTCTAGAGTATATATCATGTTTCTATGTTATTTATTTGTTTTTTATGTCATATTAGATCAATTTTGATATATAAATAAGCCGTAGAGTTGATATTAGCGTTATATTGAAGTATATTTTGTCCTGCTTCCCTAGAGCAGGAATTCCTCTGGAACGGATTAATGGCATTTCAGTTAAATTAAATGAGGAAAATTGATTTGATATACAAGTAAATTGAGTTATGAGCTTGGTCACGGAACTGATTAAACTCATAAGTCAAGGTTCCACTGTATTCAGTTATTAAACAGTTTGTAAATGAGCAGAGATTAACTAGAAAAGTTTATGTAAAGATAATACAGTAAGACCTCACATAATGCAGCAATTATGCTTCTGAAATTGGTGCTTTATGTAAGATTATGCTATGTAATACATATATGTGAAAAATAGGGTTAGGTACACAGCACATCGACGAAAGACATATAAATTTGTTTTAGGTATACAGCACCTCTGAGAAAGCTATACAATTTTTTGTGTTTTTTGTTATCGATAATATAGCTCTTGATACCTTACATTGCAGATGTGGTTGCTTGTTAACCTAACATCACCTACTAGTACTATCACCACTTAATACCATCTATCATACCTAATACCACCCTCCATCATCATTTCTGGCCAATAAAATTTCATTTTGTAGTTGCTACATGGCCTGGCCATGGACTGGGCCACGGGGTCGTTGACCCCCACAACACCCTTCGAGGTATATTACCTCCACAACCTCATCACCTATGACCACTTACCAGCACTATCACCACCTAACAGTGTCTATCACCACATTCAACCATCACCCAGGAGCGAAATTTTCCGAATGGGAACCAACCCAAATTCAGTTTTTTCTAACTTTAACCTAGTTAATTAAACACAGGCTGGGACCATGTTCTAGTAATTTTGGGCTATAAATATGATTAGCATTCTAATAAAAATACATGATCTTTTTTCAATGCATTGGCTGTATCCCACTGAAGCGGGGTGGTCCAAAACGAAAAACAAAAGTTTCTCTCTATAAATTAAGTAATGTATACAGGAGAAGAGGTTACTAGCCCCTTGCTCCCGGCATTTTAGTCACCTCTTACGACATGCATGGCTTACAGAGAAAGAATTCTGTTTCACTTCCCCATAGAGATAAGAGGAAATAAGCAAGAACTAGTAACAAAAAAGAAGAAAACCCAGAGGGGTGTGTGTATATATGCTCGTACATGCATGTGTAGTGTGACCTAAGTGTAAGTAGAAGTAGCAAGATGTACCTGAGATCTTGCATGTTTATGAGACAAAAAAGACACCAGCAATCCTACCATCATCTAAAACAATTACAGGCGTCTGCTTTACACTCACTTGGCAGGACGGTAGTACCTCCCTGGGCAGCTGCTGTTTACCAGCCTACTACCTAGGAAAAATACATATATGCATACTTTCTTTCTTTCAACACACCGGCCGTATCCCACCGAGGCGGGGTGGCCCAAAAGGAAAAACGAAAGTTTCTCCTTTTACATTTAGTAATATATACAGGAGAAGAGGTTACTAGCCCCTTGCTCCCGGCATTTTAGTCGCCTCTTACAACACGCATGGCTTACGGAGGAAGAATTCTGTTCCACTTCCCCATGGAGATAAGAGGAAATAAACAAGAATAAGAACCAGAAAGAAAATAGAAGAAAACCCAGAGAGGTGTGTATATATGTGCTTGTACATTTATGTGTAGTGTGACCTAAGTGTAAGTAGAAGTAGCAAGACATACCTGAAATCTTGCATGTTCATGAGACAGAAAAAAGGACACCAGCAATCCTACCATCATGTAAAACAATTACAGGCTTTCGTTTTACACTCACTTGGCAGGACGGTAGTACCTCCCTGGGCAGCTGCTGTTTACCAGCCTACTACCTAGGAAAAATACATATATGCATACATATATTCATATTTACATACATATATGCTGTACATGCATATGCATATGTACAAAGTAATGGAAGTGAGATATAAAAGAGAGGGATGGGTAAATTACTTTTTTCAAGACTGCAAGAAGGCATTTTGTACTGTATTTCACAACAGACTGAGGAAGAAACCTGAGGTACAGGTAGGAATAACACAGAATATACTCCAGTAGATCAAATAGTATTTTAGGGGAAGGAAGCGAAAAGCGACTGTCAGGGAAGAGTAACTAGTGGGGTTCCACAAGGATCTGTATTAGGGCCAATACTGTTAATGGTTTGTGAATGACATTCCAAATGGGACTGAGTCAAATGTATCCCTGTTGGCCAAAGATTAAAAACAGATGAGGATGACAAAAGGCTGCAAATTGATCTGGACAGACTAAAAAATCGGTCAGATAAATGGTTGCTAAATTCAACCCCAGAAAATGCAGTTATGAAGATTTGGAAAGGTGCCAGTAGACTGCGCACAGAGTATAGGCTCTGGGGACAGAGGATGTAGATGTAAGTGAGAGAGTGGGGTAAAAATTGTGCCTAGCATATCAGCAGAGGCTCTTATCAACTGAATAACCTCTGCAGCTAATGCTTGTCTGGCAGATCTTAAGATTGGTCCTCAGGAATCTCAACAGAGTCATTCAGAACCCTTCATATTACATTTGTCAGGTTCATCTTGTAGTATGCAGCACCAGCATGGAACCCTCGTCTGAAAAAGCATGTTGAGAAACTGGGGAATGTGCAAAGGTATGCAACGAGGCTTACTCCAGAACTAAGGGCCATGAACTATTGAATCTACCGACATTGGAGTACAGAAAAACCAGGGAAGAAGTGATAACATACAAAATACTAAGAGGAATTGATAAGGTAGACAGGGATAAGCAGTTTGAGAGTCAGGAAACAAGTACTCTGGGGAAGTCAACAACACAGGTTAGGTTAGGTAAGGTTTGTCAGGGTTTTAGTTATATGATGACCTGCAGCTGGAGTTTTTGGTCATCTGATCGAGGCCTTCCACTGGCTTACCTGTCCACCCCTTTAAAAATTAAGTTTATTAGTTATCAGTGACACAGATAAGCCACAGGGATGTCAGGAAGTATTTCTTAAATCTCAGGGTGGTCACGAAGTGATGTGCCAGGTTCCATACCTAGTTTTAAGAGCAGGTACAATAGGGCCAATGAGGCTAGGAGGGAGTGCATCTGGCAAGCAGAAAGTTGAGGTGGGGCTAGGAGCTAAGACTTGACCCCAGCAACCACATATAGGCAAGTACATGCGCACACCAATATTTTTTTCAAAATACTGTGCCAGTTCAGGTTTTCTAAGTGCTGTATTCTGACTTCTAGAGTAATTGTCCATGATTGAATAAATCTTTAAAATTATTGTCAACCTCTGAGATAACAGTTGCTATGTTTTCAGTGATATACTTGATGCTTATCTGCATTCTAGGGAGCATTCCTCAATGCATTTTACATTTCAAATTTTGTTCAACATACTTGCAATGCATTGATCTAGACAGCATGTTGGAAAAATTTATTTTTTGTGGATGCGACTCTCTCACAAATGTGAATATTAATGATCAACAAGGATAGTGGATTCTTACTGGTATCAAAAGCAGTCTACAATGTACAGAGAGTAGTTAAAGCTTTTCTTGTTACACTTATAGGAAAAGTTGGAACTTCAATAACAATACTCTTACTGTATAGTAGATAACAAATAAATGGATTTATTAGGAGTCTTTTAAAATTGTGGTAGCACTGCTGCAGTATAGTACACTTAATTGAGATAACCACTAGCATGTTTTTGGATGGCTGACAAACACAAGTAAAGCATTACCTTGGACAGAGTAGTTACATGACCAGTAGTGCGTCGGCCTGGAGTTCTATGACTCTTTAATCATGAGTTCAAACCCTCTCATGGTATTTTTGTTTTATAACCAGTAGCTGTCTAGGAAGGCCCACTCGCACAGTATTTTCAGTTACTTGTATTGTGAACTTTTCCCAGATTATCTGAGCCTGAGATATATTATTAAGGCCTGGGGATAGATAGGGTATGAGTATGAGGACCCACGTCTTGAATTTTGAAGCAGTTCTTCATCCAGTCAGTGTCAGCTGATGAGTTGTACAAGGAAGAACATCTATTAGAAGTGATAAGAGGTATATATTTTGTGCATACTCTGGAGTTTCACATTTCAATGGACTTCGAGTGATAAGAAGTTGTTTATTTTTCAAGGGTTATTGTTTATGCTGGTGGAATGGTGTTAGCTATATTGCTATACACTGTATATATAACTGTTATACAGTCCCTTTGCTTAAAAACTATAGTCTCAAAAATGATGGATTTCACTGGGAAATTGCTTGAGCATTCAAGGTAAAAAAAAAGTATTGCATTTTAGTGTACATCAGCCCCCACAAACATGACTTGCACTCAAGGGAGAGAATCCACAGTGCAAGGCATTTCTTTCCTATATTTTTTTCTGCGGAATGTTCTCAATATGACTTTTTCTGCTTGTTTCATTCTGTAAGTAGTCCTGTTTCATACTGCACCTAGTACTCTTGAGTACATACTAGTGATGATAGTTTGCACATAAAAGCTTTAAGATATTGAAGGGAAAAAGATTTATGAAGAAAGAATGTGAGAACTAAGCCTCGTGTTATTTTAAGAACAAAGAATTTGAGAGAATATGATCATAACATACATCAGGTTACAGTGTATACAGCCATATTTCAACATGAATTATCATTATTAGTCAATACTGTGCAATAAACATATATGGGTCATACAGTGTTTTCTTGCATCATGATTGAATATGGTTATTTCAGAGAGAAAAAAAAAAAGTGCTATATGATGCAAATATATCAGCTAATACAGTAAGAGTTTTTTCTCACCCATAGTAGGCTACATTTGAAAAAAAAATTGGATTTCATTATTATATTATTTGGAGCTTAATTTACAATTCAAGGACTTTTGGAAAGAAGTGTTACATAGGTAGTGTGTGTTAAACACAAATACAGTACCTGTGGAATGGCGATAATCATCTTTGATTTGAGGAAGGGGATGGTAGACGGAATCTCTTGGAACACACTAAACTTTTTTTAATATTCAGTGATTAGATAAAAATGCTATGTTAATGGTTTGGCTGTTATTCAACAACCATTGCTGAAGTTTTTATTATTTCTCACCATTATATATAATTTTGTATGTTTTGGTCATATTCATTTTCCAAGGCATTTGAAGATGAACCGAAAGTTTTGGGTTCTTGCACCACCCTTCTGAGTTTGATATTTTCTTATTACAAATGGCTTCAAGTTAAGGCCTCTACTTTTATGTTTGCTCTATTTTTGGCTGCTGCTTTTCTGCTTTTCATTATAAATATGCTTATCATGGTAACCTTTATACATTTTTTTTTCTGCAACTTTCACACATTTTTTATTTTGTTTACTTGAATGGAGAGCATTTACGAGTGATGCACATAGCTGATAGTGATGATAGCATGCAAAACATGTCAGGTGTTACTGGGACTAGAGTGTGAAGGTGTGCAGGTATTTGTACTCTGCCTGAAATATTTTGGGGAAATTATAATGCTGTTATTGCCTTGCTTCAGGTGTTGGAAAATAAGTAGTTGACAAAAAATTTTTTTTAAGTTTTTTGGTGGATTATACTTTGTAATAATGATTAATTGTATGCTGAAACTTTTTAGTTTTTTGAACAAAATAAATATAATAGTAACTAAATAATCATCTTAAGATACTGGATTGTGAAAGGTTCATCTGCATTCATTATCATAATGACTAAATATTTGTTATTGTTTTCCTGGAAGTCTTTGGTACAGTCTTATGCATTATCACTTATTTTTTACCTCCAGAGAATTAGACAGTGATGGAAGCCAGCAAAGGAGCGAGAGAGAGGCGAGCCCAAGCAAACGATCACCAACAAGTCTCATGGAAGATGTCAGACAGGCTGTTCTACAAGCTGATGTCTCTTGTAAGTTGACAGAAAATAATACTTTACATTTTATTTTATTTTTTGCAGCCAAAATTGTTGAACTATGATCATCCTATATATGGCTCCTGATATGGCTATCATGTTTGTATAGTAAACTAGATTATTATTATGAAGATAGTCAAAGAGTAGCCCTGCACCTACAAGAGAGACAGTATCTTGGGAATGAGAGGTAATCAAGTTTAATCTAAGGGGAAGAGGCTTCAATTCCTTGAATTTAGAGCCTTTCACAAGCATTAAGGAGCCTCCCCTGAGAGGCTTTGTCCTTCCTTGGGGGATATGTAAAAGGCCTAGGTTACTTCCATTACTTTAGGCACCATTATAGACATTGTGAAAGTCATTAAAACCCCTGTATTGTCCAAGATTTTAAAGTGATTACATTGGTTAATTAATTCTCAAAGTATAACTGATAATCAAAATCATATGATAGGATGATCATGATTTGATTCCAAACATTACTTTTTGATCATGTAGAATAATTTTTTGCATCATTTGAAGTAGAGTATTTATGTAATGATCTTACTCTCCCATAGTCTGAAGATATTGCAACATACTACCACTACTACTGTATCATGATATGTAAAGTATTTCTTAAATACATTTTGAAAATTAGTTGATGATGATAACTTTTTTTTTTTGCAAGGTAATTCCCAAGTGACTTAAGTAATATTGAATTATCATACTGTGAATTTTTTAGTTTTAAGTGATAGAAAATTAAATTACGTAGCACTTTTCATGCTAAAACCATTAGTATAAGCTTGGATTATATGTATACAATGCTGTTTTCCAAGCAAACAGACCAAAATTTTAATCCAACAAATACTCCTTATTGTATTTGAAGTCTGAGGTTTCTAAGGGATTCTTGGGGATGTGCTAAACCCGTAGGGGTCATGCAGTGTCCGGGGAATGGGGAAGTAATGATGTTTGATCAAAGGAAGCTGAGGGTAAGCTCCAATTTCTCAGATCAAGAGCCCTTCACCAGCATTGTGGTATCCCCTGTGAAGGTATTCATGGATACAAGAGAAGGGATAGTTTATTATACAGTATGTACTGTACTATGATGTACTATATAATTTAATATGATTATTATTGTAGGTTAGTACTAAAGCCACAAGTCATACAGCTCATGGGGAATGTGAGATATCATGTGGATTGTTTTATTATTTTAGTAATATTGGTCACGATGGAGTTACCTTGTATGGTCACTATTGTGACAAGTTCTTGTATATGTACTAAAGAGTTTTATTCTTCTCCTTTTTAGCCTCTGTTCCCACACAACAATACTGGCAACACCGTATGTTTTGCTTGTTGCATGTCTCTTCTCTGCCTCTCTTTGTGATTATTTATTTATCATACTGCTTAGGTCATTATTTTTATTTTGCATTTATATTTTATTTTAAAAATTTAGTTGTGAAAAGCTCTTGATTTTTGTGAAGGTGCACCATGAACGGCTGTTGCAGTTGCTTTTAGACAGTTTCTGAAAGCAACTGTTTTATTAAGAGATTTTGTTGTTTTTTGCATGAATTTTGCTTTGTGAATTTTACGTTTTTTCTGTAACGTAGATAATTAGATTATTCATCAATACTTGTAGTGTAGAGACGTACCAAATGCAATATCTGCATAATATTTGTAATACGTCAGTTTTGCATTAATGCTAAATAACACATTCAGTGTACTTTGCACAAGAAAATAAGTTCCAGCCACTTGCTAGAAATCGCACACAGCGGTCAAGGTGCACACCAACACACGTCAATCAAGGGTTTTCTCTTCCAGTGGGCAAGAAGCCAGTAATCAGTGCACCTGTTCCTTTGTCGTCAACAGCACATGGGGTTGTTGGCCAGGGTCAGGTTGTACACCCAGTCAGCTCTCCTCAGCGATTACAGTCTGCATTTTATTCTCCTGTAAGTAAGGTGGTCATAGGAGACTATATTAATATTTAAGGCAGTAACAGGATGCTGTATTACTTTTGTAAGTAAGGCAATTATCAAATGTTGTATTACTTTTTACAAGGTGGTCATAGTATATATAACTTTCCTGTAAGCTAGTTGGCCATAGGATGCTACATTACTATATTAAGTAAGGAGGACATAAGGTGCTATATTACTCTCCATTAAGTGGTCATGCTAAATTACTTTCATGTAAGTAGGCAAGTCATAATCTGCTGTATTATATTGACAAGACACATACATACTGTACAGCATGCTGTACTTAATTACTTTCTAAGTAAGCTGGTGATAGTATGGTGTATAGTATTATTTTTTTGTAAGAAAGATATAATCTGCTATACATTGTTACTCTAAGTAAATACACATTTTTATTGAGACTTTAGGCACATTACATTAATAAAAATTTCAGTGGACTTAAGGACACAAATTTTATGGGCATGTAAGTGGACAAGAATCTTTCCTCTGTAAATCACATGTGAAATTAAGACACATGTGCAACATCTGGGTATCTTTATTGTAGACGTTTTGCCATCCAGTGGCTTTATCAATACAAATTCCAGGACATAATTTGAAGACAGTAGAACTATATACAGAAGATGAGGTAATGGTGAATGTGGTTCCTTCTTTGGGCCTCTCTACTTTGGTGGGAAATGGGTGGTGTGAAAAAAAAAAAAAACGGTAAGAGGGAGGGACAATAGGAGACTACAAGTAAAAGCTGAAACTATACGTGTTCAAATAGTAATGTGAAAATAACTCATAAAACCAGTCCATTGAAAACTCCGGCAGTTACAATTATTTAGGTAATTTTTTATAATGTGTTGAAAATGAGAGTCATATTTTATATTACTATGTATTTTTTTTTTTTTTTTTTTTTTTCAACAAGTCGGCCGTCTCCCACCGAGGCAGGGTGACCCAAAAAAGAAAGAAAATCCCCAAAAAGAAAATACTTTCATCATCATTCAACACTTTCACCACACTCGCACATTATCACTGTTTTTGCAGAGGTGCTCAGAATACAACAGTCTAGAAGCATAAACATATAAAGATACACAACATATCCCTCCAAACTGCCAATATCCCAAACCCCTCCTTTAAAGTGCAGGCATTGTACTTCCCATTTCCAGGGCTCAAGTCCGACTATATGAAAATAACCGGTTTCCCTGAATCCCTTCACTAAATATTACCCTGCTCACACTCCAACAGATCGTCAGGTCCCAAGTACCATTCGTCTCCATTCACTCCTATCTAACACGCTCACGCACGCTTGCTGGAAGTCCAAGCCCCTTACCCACAAAACCTCCTTTACCCCCTCTCTCCAACCCTTTCGAGGACGACCCCTACCCCGCCTTCCTTCCCCTATAGATTTATATGCTTTCCATGTCATTCTACTGTGATCCATTCTCTCTAAATGACCAAACCACCTCAACAACCCCTCTTCTGCCCTCTGACTAATACTTTTATTAACTCCACACCTTCTCCTAATTTCCACACTCCGAATTTTCTGCATAATATTTACACCACACATTGCCCTTAAACAGGACATCTCCGCTGCCTCCAACCGTCTCCTCGCTGCTGCATTTACCACCCAAGCTTCACACCCATATAAGAGTGTTGGTACTACTATACTTTCATACATTCCCTTCTTTGCCTCCATAGATAACGTTTTTTGACTCCACATATACCTCAACGCACCACTCACCTTTTTTCCCTCATCAATTCTATGATTAACCTCATCCTTCATAAATCCATCCGCCGACACGTCAACTCCCAAGTATCTGAAAACATTCACTTCTTCCATACTCCTCCTCCCCAATTTGATATCCAATTTTTCTTTATCTAAATCATTTGACACCCTCATCACCTTACTCTTTTCTATGTTCACTTTCAACTTTCTACCTTTACACACATTCCCAAACTCATCCACTAACCTTTGCAATTTTTCTTTAGAATCTCCCATAAGCACAGTATCATCAGCAAAAAGTAACTGTGTCAATTCCCATTTTGAATTTGATTCCCCATAATTTAATCCCACCCCTCTCCCAAACACCCTAGCATTTACTTCCTTTACAACCCCATCTATAAATATATTAAACAACCATGGTGACATTACACATCCCTGTCTAAGACCTACTTTTACCGGGAAGTAGTCTCCCTCTCTTCTACACACCCTAACCTGAGCCTCACTATCCTCATAAAAACTCTTTACAGCATTTAATAACTTACCACCTATTCCATATACTTGCAACATCTGCCACATTGCTCCTCTATCCACTCTATCATATGCCTTTTCTAAATCCATAAATGCAATAAAAACTTCCCTATCTTTATCTAAATACTGTTCACATATATGCTTCAATGTAAACACCTGATCTACACATCCCCTACCCACTCTAAAACCTCCTTGCTCATCCGCAATCCTACATTCTGTCTTACCTCTAATTCTTTCAATTATAACCCTACCGTACACTTTTCCTGGTATACTCAGTAAGCTTATTCCTCTATAATTTTTACAGTCTCTTTTGTCCCCTTTCCCTTTATATAAAGGGACTATACATGCTCTCTGCCAATCCCTAGGTACCTTCCCCTCTTTCATACATTTATTAAACAAAAGTACCAACCACTCCAACACTATATCCCCCCCTGCTTTTAACATTTCTGTCATGATCCCATCAGTTCCAGCTGCTTTACCCCCTTTCATTTTACGTAATGCCTCACGTACCTCCCCCACACTTACATTCTGCTCTTCTTCACTCCTAAAAGATGGTATACCTCCCTGACCAGTGCATGAAATTACTGCCTCTGTTTCTTCCTTAACATTTAAAAGTTCCTCAAAATATTCTCGCCATCTACCCAATACCTCCATCTCCCCATCTACTAACTCCCCTACTCTGTTTTTAACTGACAAATCCATATTTTCCCTAGGCTTTCTTAACTTGTTTAACTCACTCCAAAATTTTTTCTTATTTTCATTAAAATTTCTTGACAGTGCCTCTCCCACTCTATCATCTGCTCTCCTTTTGCACTCTCTCACCACTCTCTTTACCTTTCTTTTACTCTCCATATACTCTGCTCTTCTTATAACACTTCTGCTTTGTAAAAACCTCTCATAAGCTACCTTTTTCTCTTTTATCACACCCTTTACTTCATCATTCCACCAATCACTCCTCTTTCCTCCTGCCCCCACCCTCCTATAACCACAAACTTCTGCCCCACATTCTAATACTGCATTTTTAAAACTATTCCAACCCTCTTCAACCCCCCCCACTACTCATCTTTGCACTAGCCCACCTTTCTGCCAATAGTCGCTTGTATCTCACCCGAACTTCCTCCTCCCTTAGTTTATACACTTTCACCTCCCTCTTACTTGTTGTTGCCACCTTCCTCTTTTCCCATCTACCTCTTACTCTAACTGTAGCTACAACTAAATAATGATCCGATATATCAGTTGCCCTCTATAAACATGTACATCCTGGGAGCCTACCCATCAACCTTTTATCCACCAATACATAATCTAATAAACTACTTTCATTACGTGCTACATCATACCTTGTATATTTATTTATCCTCTTTTTCATAAAATATGTATTACTTATTACCAAATTTCTTTCTACACATAGCTCAATTAAAGGCTCCCCATTTACATTTACCCTGGCACCCCAAATTTACCTACTACTCCCTCCATAACATTTTTACCCACTTTAGCATTAAAATCCCCAACCACCATTACTCTCACACTTGATTCAAAACTCCCCACGCATTCACTCAACATTTCCCAAAATCTCTCTCTCTCCTCTACACTTCTCTCTTCTCCAGGTGCATACACGCTTATTATAACCCACTTTTCACATCCAATCTTTATTTTACTCCACATAATCCTTGAATTAATACATTTATAGTCCCTCTTTTCCTGCCATAGCTTATCCTTCAACATTATTGCTACTCCTTCTTTAGCTCTAACTCTATTTGAAACCCTGACCTAATCCCATTTATTCCTCTCCACTGAAACTCTCCCACCCCCTTCAGCTTTGTTTCACTTAAAGCCAGGACATCCAGCTTCTTCTCATTCATAACATCCACAATCATCTCTTTCTTATCATCTGCACAACATCCACGCACATTCAGACTTCCCACTTTGACAATTTTCTTCTTCTTATTCTTTTTAGTAATCTTTACAGGAAAAGGGGTTACTAGCCCATTGTTCCCGGCATTTTAGTTGACTTTTACAACACGCATGGCTTACGGAGGAAAGATTCTTATTCCACTTCCCCATGGATATAAAAGGAAAATTAATAAGACCAAGAACTATTAAGATAAAATCAAAGAAAAACTCAGATGAGTGTGTATAAATAAATGTGTACATGTATGTGTAGTGTGACCTAAGTGTAAGTATATGTATATGATTATAAAATTCAGGAATATTGTATGCTAAAATTATAATGAACATGAGAGTAATAGGAATTACCAGAAGGTTTTTTATTGTGGTAGTTTTTTTCCCCCCTCTCAAACCCCTTTAAATTTTGTAGGGTGGTCGAGAATCAGTACGTGACAGCAGTGGTGGATCTCCAAGATTAGGCCGCAGTAGCATACATGCTAGTCCACTGAGTGGAGTTAGTGCCAATCCCTCAGGTGTGGTGCTGCTGAGCCAAAAGCCACTCGATTCTTCACTTCCAGCACATAAATTGGGACCAGGTAACAGAGAATTCCTATAAGGTAAAACAAAATATACATTCAGTATTAAGACAACTGGTTAATTATATTTACTTCTGCATAAAGAACATAGAGGTACAATACCCTGACTGGTATATACATTTCTACATACATACATACATGCATTCATTCATTATATTGTATACTTACTCAGTATGTAGTTTCCTGTGTTTCTCAGTCGTACTTTATCCTGTAAATATTTCCTTACCAATTTTCATGGGAAAAGTGGGTTAGAAATGTTTCTTCGTAGCCATGCATGTTGTAGGTAACTAAAATGGCTGCAACAAGGAAATGGTTACTTTTTTCCCCTTGCATGTAATTACCATGGATGTATGGAGATGTTAAGATGTTAAAAAAGAACTAATGGATTGCTATGAAAGGAAATTGAATGTTCTAACAGTTAGTGAAACAAAATAAAAAGGGATTGAAGAGCAAATGAGAAAAAGGTCAAGGTGGTTGTATTGGAAAGAATGAAAGTAATACCTTATTATAATAACATGTAATACAGTTCACATGATGAACTATTTGTAACAGTTCCCCATGTGTTGCGGGACAGAAATGCCCTTCTCTTAATTAGGTTGACTGCTGCATCACACATCACCCTAAGAATGTACAGTGCCAGGTATGTGGAGGCTCTGCCAGACCTGTACATGTAAGAAGAAAAAAAGCTCTTATGAACTATCTGGTCAGTTACTATAGTGCTTCTTCTAGAAACAATTTCCTTGTATGGGACATGTCAGAATTATGTAAATTTCTTGATATATGTTGATTTCTGCATATATATTGCACTTAAAATCTGCCAGTGTTTTGGAGTGCAAAAGTAAAGTTAATTCATCTTGAGCAATCTTGCAAGCAAATGCAGATTATGTCTTGCTGATACTTCTTGAAAGCATACACTTCCAAAATAATCCAGGCTCATTAGAATTATTGATTTGGGGTTGTAATTGTTGTCTGCAATAATCTTGGCAAGCTCAGCAGAATAATTCTGCAGCTGTATAGTCAGCAGAAGCATTTTCAGTCTCATAATGATGTCTCTAATTTGCATTCAGTACCTATCAAGATAATTTTCATCGTTTTCACGTTATTCACTTAAAATGAAAAATATCAGTACTGTACTTTATTCACAACAAAAAACTTGTAGGATTGAGGAGATTGTCAGTGGCTTGAATCATAGTATTCTGCATGCAGCCATTGTCTAGGGAATTGTCAAGAAGGAACAAGGTGTCAATCATGGACATGTACACAGATACACATTCAGTTATAATGAAAAGCTGCATTTGTTTAGTTTTATTTATTGTTTTGTCTTGGCACACTTTTCTCTCTTTTCCTTGCCTTACTTTGTTGTGGTCTAACATCAGTATTTTCTATATATTTGAGGTACTCTTGTAATAGAATTCCTTATAAATTTCTTTGTGGTATTTTCTGCAGCAGTATTCCCTACACATTTCCTTGTGTTCATGCAGCCACATTCCCTATGCATTTTGCATAGTCCTTCATAGTACGGACAACTAGCAGGTACATAGTCAAATTTTCATGCAGAATTCAGGAAAACTGCTTTGTTAGTAGTGATATTTTATTACAGTTAATAAAAATGAAGTGGTAGGGGCATCCAGCAGACACTTGTGAGTGAATTAGACAAGAGTGGAAACAAATGGATTTTGGTGTTCAATGTGCTTTATTGAAGTCCTGAAAATGGGAAGTCGAGTGGCTGCACTCCAAAGAATAAGTGGAGATGTTGCAGTCTGGAGCATCATTTTAATTGTGATATTTGTGCACTTCAGGCTTAAGAGCTATTGAATAAATGATGGTAAATGTGTGTCCTTTGTAGGGTTACCTTATCTTCCTTGAAAACAGCCATTGTGGGATTTTTTTTGTAGTCATACAACGTACATATATCTTTATATTCTAGTGCTGTATTGGAGATGTGGAGATTCCACACAGTAATTTACTTAAACATAAGATATTTAATTACACACATTCATTCTGCTTCAAATTTAAGTTTTGATCATACACTAAATGGCTGTACATCAGCACAGTATCTTAGTGAAAGGATAGTTACAGTTTTATGAATACCTTTTAGAATAATTAGCTCATAATTCTTCACAGTAGAGACATAATAACTTTAACAAAATGTAAGCACAATTTATATATTAGTTTTATTATTTAATGCCATGCTTGACATTTCTAGATTTGTCTAATTATAGATATGATTATAATTATAATTGTTTCCTTTATATAATTATTTGCTGTTTAATTTATTTACACATTCACTTATTGTCCAGTAAAACCCAGAAGCCTCTTGTGCATTTGTTTTGTTTTGATTTATACAAGCTTGACCTTAAAGATGGTGGCGCTGGTTGACAACCTCGGCACTTATGTACCACATAACCAGTAGTGACCCAGCTCAATATGCCAGGTGTAGATGGCAGCAGTGGTGACTTAAGCAGCGGGCCTGCATCCTTAGGGTCAGGGGATGAGGGCTCGGGCGCATCTTTAGGGTCCCAGAGTTCCCTCTCCCTAACTCAGCCTCCTACTGAGAGGACCAAACGGTCACACATGTGGCAGACCGCACCCGTGGTTGACTGGACCAAGGAGCAGGTAGTGTAACCATGGGGAGCATTCCTGACACTCTTAGGTTCATCTCAGGTTCATGCTTAAATAGTTTCTTCATTTGACGCAGCTGGCACGAATCAGCGTAACCATCACAATATACCATAGTGTTGCTGGCTTTGTGTGCATCTTTTAAAATGCAACTTGCCCCCCTGAAAAAAAAATGCCAATTTGGACTTAACATAATATGACAGTGTTGCAATATTAATTGAAATAACTTTTCAGTCTTCATAAACTTTATATAATACTTATATACAACCAGCCTTTCCATTACACTCAGTATTACACTTTGGTAGTTGAGCTGACCTGTGATTATAACTAATACAGTATTTAAATTATTCACAAAATATGTGCTAAACCCATATTGGTCATTCAGCGCTGCTGTATTTAAAACAAAGAGTACCATAAAGCCCCTTGATGGATGTGAAGGGCTGGAGCAAAGCATAATGTTTTGTGCATCTTCTTCTTGATGTTATTGAACTAGTTACTTTTAATACTAATTCTTTTAATGCATTTACAAGCAAGCAAGAAGGTGACCTGTAGCATTTAATTTTGTCGGTAGACTTCTGAGTGTCATGAATACATCTCATTGGTTATTGGCATGGTAGTGTAACCTTTTATATTGATACTTCACAATTCATTTGCTAAGTTATGCTTTAGTTATATTTATTTTGGTAATTAAGGTAAGTTTATTTGAGCTTACCCTTAATCCAGTTCTGTTTTCTGCATCCCACCTTTGCTAACAGGATGATGAATGCTTAGTGTTAGTGTATACTAAAACTGTACTGATATTAATTTCCTAACATATATGGCCTGCATGAACTAGTTCATACTAAACTCTAATGTTTCTCTATATATTTTTGCTTATAATTGGTGAATAATGAATTTCCATGCATTTTTTGCTTTCAATAGTAAAAATCTAGTTTGCAGACTAATTTCTTATTTATAGCTGAAATTTCATGCCAGTGTTTCACACAATGTTTTATTTTGGTCAATATTATGGGCAGGAATATTATGCGCGCGCGCGCACACATTTCACTAATCTGCACTTTAGCTTCTTCAAGAAACCTGCCAAGAGTAGAGGAGTGAATTACTGTTGAAATATGCTATTTAGACTATCAGCATATTGCTTATATTAATAATTCTTTCAATCCCCATTTTAATTTTAATTATTTTCATTATTATACCTGCCAGTAATGTAAAAAATATATTTGAACATATACTTTAATGTTTTATATTATTATTATTATAAGCATGGGGGAGTGCTTAACCCATAGGATTATACAGCGCACGTGGGGGATGGCAGGTATTCAGGCTCAATTCAGGGAACTGGAGCACAGATCCATTTCCCTAGATCAAGAGCCCCTCACCAGCATCAAGGAACCTCCCTTTATGGGTTTATGTTTTATAACATAAACTTCCTGCATTGGTAGGAGTGTTTCAGTTACTGGTAGTCTACATAATTCAAGTAAAGAAAACTGTGCCTATATGAAGAAAAAAAGCTGTTACATTAATGCTCTGGTTTATTTCAAGTAGTTTAAGGAAAGATTTAGTTGTAAATAACATTACTAAAAATTTGATTTACATACAGTAAATATGATACACTTGGATATTTTAGAAGCACTGCAATTTGATTAATATATACAAATGGACAATATTACTCATTACATTGTAGAATGAATCATTCCCCTTCATTACTCATCACACTGTAGAATGAATCATTCCCTCCTCTCCAACCAGAAATAGACATAAGGTGAGAAATGTGGGTAGAAAACTTCAGCATAAATTATAAAAAGTCTCAAACTAGACCTCTTTCCTTTCAAAAGCTTGTAAAATAGGTTTGTTGCATGTTAAGTCTACAATACGGTTTCTTCAAGCTACATTTTGCCAGTGTCACAATATTTTTTAATGTTTTCTCAGCTTGAGAAATGATGTTCATTACCATTTAACTTCACTTTCAATACTTTAATACCTTACCAATTAATATAATGCTTGGTATATGTGGGTACTTAGGGAACTACTGCATCTCAGTTTTATAAACCTCAGGTGTGTTAAGCCACATTCTTACAGAACGGAATGATTGAATGCTGTAGTCTTTCAGTGCACCCTTTTTTTTGTATACCAAGAGTATCAAGTACAGTTCACCTTTAATTGCATTGTCCTGTTGCACACCTGTTACTCCTTGCAATGATCTGTGCATTGTTAAACAGTGAAAGTAATGAAAGAAATGCAGGATTATTTTATTTTATATTATTCTTTTTTCGCATATCTTTATTTCACAGAAGTTTAAAAATTTTTATTGGTTTGCATTGATTTGATAGGTTTGCTCTTATATTCACAGATGATTTTACAAATTATTTAAGATAATAGGTTTATTTGTGTGAATTCTTGCAGGTGAGTCAATGGCTGGTAGTACAAGGTTTAGAGAGTTGCGTCGGACGCTTCCAAGATATTGGCATGACCGGCCCAAGACTACTTAATTTAGATGTACGAGACCTGAAGTCATTAGGGCTACCAGCCGAAGATAAAAGCAAGCTTAAGAGGAAGGTGTGTACTTGGATCTATTTATTTCTTGAATAATCTTTAATCTCATAAAATCTATTGAGCTTTAGACCACTTGACTATCGGTTTATTTTAGTGAAGTATACACATGCAACAAATTCTGTAGTCTGTCTGTATCTCTTATGATAGGGAATTACAGTATTCCCATGCATATAATGTTCATGGGGGAAGTGCTCGACCTGTTAAGGTTATATAGTCCTTTGAGAATGAGAAGTAATCAGATTTGATCAAAAGAACAGGACAGTATTTTCAGTTCTTCAGATTAGGAATCTTTCACCAGTATCAAGGCAGCCCTTTTGAAAAAACGGCCTCTTCTTGTCACTCTTCCTCTTCTCTCTTTCCCTTCTCCAATAGACTAGTAAACCCTCAATCCTCATCCTACCCTTTTTGCTTCACCCTATTTCCTTCTGCCCTTTTCCTCCTCACTCAACTCTTGTGTCTGCTTCCTTTCCTCCTCCTGTGAATGTGCCCTGATGCTTGTTAAAATGCTTGGATTCAAGAATTTGAAACTTATCTCCAATTCCTTGGATCAAACCTGATTACCTACCATTCCCCAGGTACTATATCTGTCAGTGGTGCAATACCCATGTAGTATATATGTGCCAATACCTTATATCACGCAAGTGTCGTCTGACTCTTGAACCGCGCATGGCTAGGCCGTAGGTGTCGGTTAGATTCCGACCAGACCCAAAGGCAGATGTGTGATAAGAAAAGGCTTCATTATTGTTCTTTCTTCTTTCAACACACCGGCCGTATCCCACCGAGGCGGGGTGGCCCAAAAGGAAAAACAAAAGCTTCTCCTTTTAAATTTAGTAATATATACAGGAGAAGGGGTTACTAGACCCTTGCTCCTGGCATTTTAGTCGCCTCGTACAACACGCATGGCTTACGGAGGAAGAATTCTGTTCCACTTCCCCATGGAGGTTCATTATTGTTATTACAATATATTACAACATTCTCATTTACTGGTGTCATTGCTACCTCATTCTCCCAAAAGAACCCTTAAGACAAATGGTGGCAGCAGTGGCCACCATTTGTCTTAAGGGTTCTTTTGGGAAGAGCGAGGTAGCAATAACACCAGTAGATAAGGCTATTGTAATATGCTGTAAGGACAATAATGAAGCCTGGCTTAAGAAATCGTAATGACACGATTGCAAATAAACTATACCCCCAGCCGGGGGTATGGTTTATTTGCAATCGTGTCATTACGATTTCTTAAGTCATGTTGACGGCAGTGAAGGGACTTGAGCTAGAGTTCGTCACGGCCACGCTAGCTGGAGATTCGTCTGTAAAAACTTGCATTTGTGGTCACAGAGGTGCCTGTGCTAACCTTCCTATGGTGTAGAAATATACCTAGTTGGATGAATCTTATTGTGGCTAGCTGGTCTAGTGGCTAACGCGACGGGCTGGAGTTTTGAGACTCTATGACCGCGGGTTCAATCCCGGCCGGGGGTATGGTTTATGAAGCCTGGCCTTTATCACACGACTGCCCTTGGGTCTGGTCAAAATCTGACACCTACAGCTTAGCCATGCGAAGTTCAAAAGGGACATCACATGACACTTGTCACGTACAGAGGGATGGTACATATAAGGTATTGGCACATAATATATACTACACAAGTACTGCTCCACTGACATATCTCCCTGCACCTCCCTATCTTATTCCTATAACTTTAGCTCTTCATTAAAATAATCATTCCTTCTCCTCCCAAGTAACTTCACATATCTGAGTAATCAGATTCCAACTTAATGTTCTGAACTTATATTGCTGATCCACAGTTACAATTATTAAAAGAATTCATTAAATTATTTTTTTTTTACCAATACATTTATACTTTATGCATGTAGAGAGGTCACAATATTGGTAAAGACTGGCTCCCCTCAAGGAAGGTTCCTTGATGTTGGTGAGGGGGGTCTTGATTTAGGGAATTGGATCTGTGCTCCAGTTCCCCAAATTAAGCCTGAATGCCTTCCACATCCCCCCCCCCCCCCAGGCGCTGTATAATCCTCCGGGTTTAGCGCTTCCCCCTTAATTATAATAATGGTAAAGACTGATCAAGAACTACAGATTCATTATTCAAGATTTTTTTTTTTTGGCCTCGGGTTGTGTTTTACCAAATATTTTTTTTATGCACATTTCGAAAGTTTATTTTTTTTTGGTTAAAAAGTTTACCTCCACTGCTGCTGTCCATGGGTGATGCACACAGCAGCAGCTCATGCTACACCCTCTTAAAATTATCTCCCATCACTACATACATGGGTATATTAACCCTTACTAAAGGGAGTGGTGAGCATATGTTAAGCCTTTTAGTTATACAATGCAACAGGGTGGGAACAAATGATAGTATAAGAGGGAGACAGTTCAGTTTCTGCCTTCTTCTGCTGTATAGCCCTTGTGGCTTAGCACTTTTTTGATTATAATAATAATCTGCCACCTTCTACACATCTTTACTGCAGTATACTGTGTTATCTGTTCTGTTTAATGCGTATATATCACTCTGCCATGGTAGGCATGTTAATAAAATAGTATTAAACATTGATTTTTTTTTTTTTTTAAGTGAAAAGGGACTACATTGGGTATACATTTTTAGTTAAAATAAATTAAATTAGAATACAGGTCTCCCTCAACTTTCACGGGCTTCGCAAGTTCCCAGCAGCCAAATCATATTTAAGTTTCCCGCCACCTGCGAGTCCCTACTACCCTCCGACCCCCGCAACTGGCAGCCAGCCCTCCCACCACTGAGTGTAGTGAGTGTTTTGTTTGTTCATTATTTGCTATTAAACTACAGAATAAATAATGTAAACCCATTCATGACTGCATATTGGAATGGCTATTAGGAAAGGTATTAGACGGTGACATCATGTGTTTACTCTTGAACACAGCAAAGAATCGAACATTTCTGCTATTGCTAATAATAACAATATTAATAATAATAATAATAATAATAAATACGATATAATTGAAGAAGGAAATTGTACAAAAATACGAGAGAGTGGTTGACACATCGTCAGTGTGACTTTGTTTATGCTGGAGTGAACATTAGTCTCCCTGCTCTTCCAAACATTTCACAATAATTCAGCGGTTGAGGCAGTGGTATTTAATAACATATATGTTATAAATAATAATAGTACATGTTATTATTAATAACATGTATTATTATTAACATGTATGTTATTAAATACCATTGCCTCTACCACTCCAGTCACACTCAATCTACAAGCACCAAACACAATGAATTATTGTGAAATGTTTGGAAGAGCAGGGAGACTAATGTTCACTCCAGCATAAACAAAGTCACACTGACGATGTGTCAACCACTCCCTCGTATTTTTGTACAATTTCCTTCTTCAATTATATCATATTTATTATTATTATTATTACTGTTGTTATTATTAGCAATAGCAGAAATGTTCGATTCTTTGGTGTGTTCAAGAGTAAACACATGATGTCACCGTCTAATACCTTTCCTAATAGCCATTCCAATATGCAGTCATGAATGGGTTTACATTATTTATTCTGTAGTTTAATAGCAAATAATGAACAAACAAAACACTCACCACACTGAGTAGTGGGAGGGCTGGTTGCCAGTTGCGGGGGTCGGAGGGAGGGTAATAGGGACTCGCATTGGTGGAGTCTGTGGTATTTAATAACATACATGCTATTAACATTATTTTTTTTTTATTATCACACTGGTCGATTTCCACCAAGGCAGGGTGGCCCGAAAAAGAAAAACTGTCACCATCACTGTCTTGCCAGAAGGATGCTTTACACTACAGTTTTTAAACTGCAACATTAACACCCCTCCTTCAGAGTGCAGGCACTGTACTTCCCATCTCCAGGACTCAAGTCCAGCCTGCCAGTTTCCCTGAACCCCTTCATAAATGTTACTTTGCTCACACTCCAACAGCACGTCAAGTATTAAAAACCATTCGTCTCCATTCACTCCTATTAAACACGCTCACGCACGTCTGCTGGAAGTCCAAGCTCCTCGCACACAAAACCTCCTTTACCCCCTCCCTCCAACCTTTCCTAGCCCAACCCCTACCCCGCCTTCCTTCCACTACAGACTGATACACTCTTGAAGTCATTCTGTTTCGCTCCATTCTCTCTACATGTCCGAACCACCTCAACCCCTCCTCAGCCCTCTGGACAACAGTTTTGGTAATCCCGCACCTCCTCCTAACTTCCAAACTACAAATTCTCTGCATTATATTCACACCACACATTGCCCTCAGACATGACATCTCCACTGCCTCCAACCTTCTCCTCGCTGCAACATTTATCACCCATGCTTCACACCCATATAAGAGTGTTGGTAAAACTATACTCTCATTCATTCCCCTCTTTGCCTCCAAGGACAAAGTTCTTTGTCTCCACAGACTCCTAAGTGCACCACTCACCCTTTTCCCCTCATCAATTCTATGATTCACCTCATCCTTCATAGACCCATCCGCTGACACGTCCACTCCCAAATATCTGAATACATTCACCTCCTCCATACTCTCTCCCTCCAATCTGATATCCAATCTTTCATCACCTAATATTTTTATCCTCATAACCTTACTCTTTCCTGTATTCACTTTTAATTTTCTTCTTTTGCACACCCTACCAAATTCATCCACCAATCTCTGCAACTTCTCTTTAGAATTTCCCAAGACCACAGTGTCATCAGCAAAAAGCAACTGTGACAACTCCCACTTTATGTGTGATTCTTTATCTTTTAACTCCACGCCTCTTGTCAAGACCCTCGCATTTACTTCTCTTACAACCCCATCTATAAATATATTAAACAACCACGGTGACATCACACATCCTTGTCTAAGGCCTACTTTTACTGGGAAATAATTTCCCTCTTTCCTATGTACTCTAACTTGAGCCTCACTATCCTCGTAAAAACTCTTCGCTGCTTTCAGTAACCTACCTCCTACACCATACACCTGCAACATCTACCACATTGCCCCCCTATCCACCCTGTCATACGCCTTTTCCAAATCCATAAATGCCACAAAGACCTCTTTAGCCTTATCTAAATACTGTTCACTTATGTGTTTCACTGTAAACACCTGGTCCACACACCCCCTACCTTTCCTAAAGCCTCCTTGTTCATCTGCTATCCTATTCTCAGTCTTACTTTTAATTCTTTCATTAATAACTCTACCATACACTTTACCAGGTATACTCAACAGACTTATCCCCCTATAATTTTTGCACTCTCTTTTGTCCCCTTTGCCTTTATACAAAGGAACTATGCATGCTCTCTGCCAATCCCTAGGTACCTTACCCTCTTCCATACATTTATATCTTTATCCCATCAATCCCGGCTGCCTTACCCCCTTTCATTTTACCTACTGCCTCATGAACTTCCCCCACACTCACAACTGGCTCTTCCTCACTCCTACAAGATGTTATTCCTCCTTGCCCTATACACAAAATCACAGCTTCCCTATCTTCATCAACATTTAACAATTCCTCAAAATATTCCCTCCATCTTCCCAATACCTCTAACTCTCCATTTAATAACTCTCCTCTCCTATTTTTAACTGACAAATCCATTTGTTCTCTAGGCTTCCTTAACTTGTTAATCTCACTCCAAAACTTTTTCTTATTTTCAACAAAATTTGTTGATAACATCTCACCCACTCTCTCATTTGCTCTCTTTTTACATTGCTTCACCACTCTTTTAACCTCTCTCTTTTTCTCTATATACTCTTCCCTCCTTGCATCACTTCTACTTTGTAAAAACTTCTCATATGCTAACTTTTTCTCCCTTACTACTCTCTTTACATCATTCCACCAATCGCTCCTCTTCCCTCCCGCACCCACTTTCCTGTAACCACAAACTTCTGCTGAACACTCTAACACTACATTTTTAAACCTACCCCATACCTCTTCGACCCCATTGCCTATGCTCTCATTAGCCCATCTATCCTCCAATAGCTGTTTATATCTTTCCCTAACTGCCTCCTCTTTTAGTTTATAAACCTTCACCTCTCTCTTCCCTGATGCTTCTATTCTCCTTGTATCCCATCTACCTTTTACTCTCAGTGTAGCTACAACTAGAAAGTGATCTGATATATCTGTGGCCCCTTTATAAACATGTACATCCTGAAGTCTACTCAACAGTCTTTTATCTACCAATACATAATCCAACAAACTACTGTCATTTCGCCCTACATCATATCTTGTATACTTATTTATCCTCTTTTTCTTAAAATATGTATTACCTATAACTAAACCCCTTTCTATACAAAGTTCAATCAAAGGGCTCCCATTATCATTTACACCTGGCACCCCAAACTTACCTACCACACCCTCTCTAAAAGTTTCTCCTACTTTAGCATTCAGGTCCCCTACCACAATTACTCTCTCACTTGGTTCAAAGGCTCCTATACATTCACTTAACATCTCCCAAAATCTCTCTCTCTCCTCTGCATTCCTCTCTTCTCCAGGTGCATACACGCTTATTATGACCGACTTCTCGCATCCAACCTTTACTTTAATCCACATAATTCTTGCATTTACACATTCATATTCTCTTTTCTCCTTCCATAACTGATCATTCAACATTACTGCTACCCCTTCCTTTGCTCTAACTCTCTCAGATACTCCAGATTTAATCCCATTTATTTCCCCACACCGAAACTCCCCTACCCCCTTCAGCTTTGTTTCGCTTAGGGCCAGGACATCCAACTTCTTTTCATTCATAACATCAGCAATCATCTGTTTCTTGTCATCTGCACTACATCCAAGCATCCCAGTTTTATAAAGTTTTTCTTCTTCTCTTTTTTAGTAAATGTCTACAGGAGAAGGGGTTACTAGCCCATTGCTCCCGGCATTTTAGTCGCCTCATACGACACGCGTGGCTTACGGAGGAAAGATTCTTTTCCACTTCCCCATGGACAATAGAAGAAATAAAGAACAAGAGCTATGTAGAAAAAGGAGAAAAACCTAGATGTATGTATATATATATGCATGTGCATGTCTGTGAAGTGTGACCAAAGTGTAAGTTGGAGTAGCAAGATATCCCTGTTATCTAGCTATTAACATACATGTTATTAAATAACATACGTTATTAAAGCATAACATGCATATATTTAGTACAATTTACGACGTTTTCATGTATTTTATGATTATTCATGGTTCAACAAGTTAAGGAAGCAGTATTATAATATATTTCCCTACAATATATTGGGGCACCAAACATTCACGGTTTTTCAACATTCGCGAGGCTCTTGATCCCCTAACCCTCGCGAATGTTGAGGGAGACCTGTATTATGATTCAGGAATGTAATTCCTGAATCATAATATTCCTGGTGCAAATTATGTTCTTAGATTGGAAAAATACTTCGATACTTTTCAGGAATGCATTAATATTGAAAGAGGGACCTGTTGTATTTGGCTTTTGTCACAAAAAAATATAATCTTGAAAATATTATTAATATAGAATAGTATTTTGACGTGTCTCATTTTACAGGTAAAAGAACTTAGATTAGCTGTCGAAAAGGAACGCAAACAAGCTGAGAAAGAGAAGAAAGAGAGAGAAAAATTACAGAAAAAAGCAGAAAAGCTAGCAGAAAAGGCAGAGAAGAAGAAAAAATAGTTTTATACACATACAGTATGTCAATACATAATCTCAGAGGGAATGTTATGACCCACACTGCTTGATGCAGTGTGCTAGTTCCTTCTGTATATAACATTACCTTATGAAACAGTCTTGAAAGTACAATACAGATATAGTTTGTTTCCGTATCCCATTGATCGAAATGTACAGACCCCCTCTCTCTGTTTTTTGGGGGAGGGGGACAACAGGGAGGGATTGGGGAGGGGGGCGACTAGATTTTTAGTCTTCCGTTTCTTGAGATCACAACTCATTATCGTAAGTATGATCTAGTGGTGCATTAACTCTTCCAAATCTTTAAGTGCAATAACTTTTTTATGTAGGATTGAGGCAAGTCTCAATTTCTAGATAAAACAAAGTTAATTGTGTGTATGAAGAATGGCCACTGAGATTATTCTTTCCCAGTGTTTATATGTTTTCTTAATTTGAAGGAGATTGGCAATGTAGCTAAAAGTCTGTCAAAAGTAGAGAGAGTTTGCATATTTTTTTAAATAAATTTGGCCAGCATGAGTGAAGTGTTCTTTGTTGGTAGTGACAGATGAACTTGAAAATCATATTCAAGGGGAATTGCTAAACCCAAAAGAGTTACTGTGCCTGGTTAATGGGAAGTGGTAAAGTTGGACTCGAGGGAAGGGTAGCTCTAGTTCCATCAAGGCACTTAACCATGAAGGGTTAAAAACCCTAGCCAACTTTACGTAATGATAGCAAATGATGCCCGAGGGTGATCACTTTCAGAGGACTGCTTGAAAGGAGCCATTGTGAGTGACATTTGATTTTCATGACTTTTAGCACATACAGATTTATATTTTTTTTTGTATTACCGTTGACTTACATTTCCCACCAGTCATCTGTTGTCTATCTTTCTGGGTTAGACATTCAGACTGACTTCTATTTGTAACTTCCATAATTTCTAGTTTTAAATAACAGTTTGATTTTTAAACTACATCATTTTGTTTTATTGCATTTACATTCAAATTAATTGCAACCTTTTCATACCTGTTATTGTTTACTCTCACTTTATTAATTTCCAGCAAAGGAAAACTAAATACCTTTGTCATTAAATTGTTTCAAAGAGCAGATAGGTCTACCAAATATGAGACATAGTGACTGTCTGTACTTACGATGTATATGTGATTTGTGTTTTCACGAAAACCTTTGGTGTACATGTTAATTTACATTGAACTGTAAGTCTATTTTAAAGACTGATCTATTTGTTATGGACATTAAAACAAAAAACTTGTATGCTGTACATGGTACCTCATGTAATAGATTATATTTTACTTTCTACTGTTCAGTGACCAGCTACTTGTTACATATCCTTCAATACTTCCATCCCATACTAGTTCAATACAGTGAAATCGACCATGTTATATTTTAGCTAATTTCCTTTGCCTCCTAAGGAACCAAAATCTTACTTAGTAGACTAAATCCCACAATATATTGTATATGAAATTTACCCTTGTGTATGTCTATGTACAAGTAATGCAAAAACATTTCATATTGTAATTGCATTCTGCCTAAAAGGTCTTGACAGACTTAATGAATGTATATGTTGCCAAATGTCTTCTTTACATTCTCATTGCTGGCCAAAGTTCGGTAACATTTTTTGTTTGTGTAGCATAAAAAAAAATCAGATTATAAAGGTAACGTGTATGCGCCCTGCCATCTGAGCCAAGCTCGTAACCTCCGAACAGTATCCTCAAATCTGGGTGGTGACTTTTCAGCCAAGGTGGTGTTAACTAGTCTGGGACCCAAGCAAGTATATATACAGAAGTTGTTACACGGCAATTGTGGTGACCTCATTTTGTGTGAACTAGTGAAGCACAGTACATTAAGACATGCTTTAATAGACAAAAAAAAAAAAAAAACAATACTGTGGAGGTATGTAGTGCTAATGTAATGGGATGAAGCCAAATTTGAAAAACAGTGGGGGATTATACATCTGATGTATTAATACAGTACTATATTTAAACATTTGGAAACTGGTAGCTAATGGTCTACTTTCTATACATTGAAAATATTTTTTTTTTGTTTTATTTTATTTTGCAATACTGATAATTCAACATTTGTAATTTAATCAATTCATTTTTACAAAATATTTTGGAATTTAAAATTTTTTATTCAATATTTTGAAGCTCTATAAAGTATTGTTTGCACTCACAATCTCTCATGTATGAATTTACTGCTTTTATTTCACATGAATGGGAATAAATCAGAATAATGAAAATTGTTTTAAGGCAGGTAATTGCATGAGACAGACAAATGTATATACCGGATACACTGTTGAAACCATCATGTCTGTATATTTATCTGTGCTTTTGTATAATAAAGTATTTAAAGATATATTTATTTGTTTTTTTTGACCTATATTTGAGAAGTCCCACCCTCAATCCTTCCTGCTTTCTAGCAGCAGCCTGGGACCTAACCTGCCATATAAGTTTGGTCCTACTGCATTTTGTTTTGGATCTGGAGGGAGAGAGATGGAAGTGCAAAATAAATCCACTAAAAAGCAGGGGTGCAGTAGTAGCACAAAGGAACAACACTGTATCTATGTTGGCAGTCCCAGATTATTCAACATCTTGCCAGAAGATATCAGAAACCCTGCTGGGACAAGTGTAGAAGCCTTCAAGAGGAATATCTAATCAGTTAATATTTACTATGAATGTCAATAATGATCAGAATAGATTTGGAAGGAAAATCCATTGAGCCAGAAAAATGTTGAATAACTGAATGTACGTATTCACGTGGGTTGCCCATCAGTAAAAACATTTGATAACGGAAACATGCATATTATGAAGCCCCTGAATTTACAGGAACTACTGTACTAAATTTATTGATTAACACACTGTTTCTCCTTTCTTCACCCTTATCCTAGCCTCTCCTAAATTCTACAAAAACACTATGCCAGTGTCACCCCCTCACACTATCCTTTAATTTTTTTTTACCCACATCATCATTTCTCCAATACCCTAATATGCTTACCTTGTCGACCCTTGCTAACAGTCCTTCCTGCCTTTGCTACACTTTCAACTTGACACTGGTTTGCATCATCAACTGAAACCCACCATACAGCCAGTGATTTCTTCCCCTATCACCTCTGCCTTTCCCTCCCTTCCATCTCTTTTTACATTGGAAATATTTATATTGTTTCATGAGAAACCCGTGATGTACCCGAGAACCCAGGATCACATGAGGCTCTCCTTTTCCGGTAATGCCTAGTAGAGGAAGCTAATATTTTCTTTAAGAATATTCGTTACGGAAAATAACTAAAAATCATAAAAATAACTAAAAATCAAGGAAAATAACAGTTATCAAAAAATGAAATACATCTAAAAATTATGGAAAATAAGGGAAAACCATAAATTATGAAAAATTACCCCCCAAAATTCACGCCATTTGAACTATTTTTGATGCTACTTAAAAAAATGCGCTTAAAAACATGAAAAGAGATCTTTTTAGCATGATACAAGGCTGTTTGATTCTTCTCGCCTGTTTCATGCGCCCCCATCAACTTCTTACATATAAGAAAACAGAGGGGGCTACAATACCATGGTGTTAGGATTTATATAGGGAACTCTGCTCTAAATATATTTAACTTGTATACTCCTGCTGGTAAGTTTAATTACTTGGAGCTCCCAACTTGTGCTCAGTCTGAACCTACTTTTATTATTGGCGATTATAATGTAAGACACAAAAGCACTGAAAACTCAGTTTGGTAATCGTAATGGTAAACAACTGCTGTCACTCTTTAATAGTCATGATAATGTGCAAATTGTAGGTGACCTTGAACCCTCACATATCTATGGAGGCATCCTTAATCTGTGTCTTGCCTTCAACATTACTTTTGCCAGCTGCAAGTCTTCCATTGTAACAGATATATCATCAGACCATTTCCCAAGGCTAACCTCACTAGATATTGATAATACAGTGGACCCTCGACCAGCGATATTAATCCATTCCTGAGAGCTCATCGTTAATCGAAATAATCGTTAATCGAGTTAATTTTCCCCATAAGAAATAATGGAAATCAAATTAATCCGTTCCTGACACCCCAAAGTATTGAAAAAAAAAATTTTACCACATGAAATATTAATTTTAATACACATAAACTGAAGAAGGCATGCACAATTACTACTATACTAAGAATAGAATACATGACACTTACCTTTATTGAAGATCTGGTGATGATTGATGGTATGGGATGGGAGGGAAGAGTGTGGATCTTCTTAGTGTTTAGAAGGGGAATCCCCTTCCATTAGGACTTGAGGTAGCAACTCTTTTTCTGGGGTTACTTCCCTTGTTCTTTTAATGCCACTAGGACCAGCTTGAGAGTCACTGGACTTCTGTCGCACAACATATCTGTCCATAGAGGCCTGTACCTCCCATTCCTTTATGACATTTCTAAAGTGTTTCACAACATTGTCAGTGTACAGGTTGCCAACACGGCTTGCAGTAGCTGTGTCAGGGTGATTTTCATCCATAAAGGTTTGCACTTTAAGCCACATTGCACAGATTTCCTTAATCTTAGAAGTAGGCAACTTCAATTTCTTTATCCCCTCCTCCGAAGCAGTTTCCTCAGGTCTGGCCTCATGCTGATGAAGATGATCTAGCAGCTCATCAGTGGTTAGTTCTTCATTGTCCTCCTCCACCAACTCTTCCACATCCTCCCCACTAACCTCCAACCCCAAGGACTTCCCCAGTGCCACAATGGATTCCTCAACTGGCATAGGATTCTCAGGGTTAGCCTCAAACCTTTCAAAATCCCTTTTGTCTACACATCCTGGCCACAGTTTTTTCCAAGCAGAGTTCAAGGTCCTCTTAGTCACTTCCTCCCAAGCCTTACCTATAATGTTTACACAATTGAGGATGGTAAAGTGATCTTTCCAAAATTCTCTTAGAGTCAGTTGAGTTTCTGAGGTCACTACAAAGCACCTTTCAAACATAGCTTTTGTGTACAGTTTCTTGAAGTTGGAAATGACCTGCTGGTCCATGGGCTGCAGGAGAGGAGTGGTATTAGGAGGCAAAAACTTCACCTTAATGAAGCTCATTTCCGCAGAAAGTCGCTCTGCCACGTCTGAAGGCTGACCAGGAGCATTGTCTAATACCAGGAGGCACTTCATGTCTAATTTCTTTTCAGTTATGTAATTTTTCACAGTAGGGGCAAATGCATGGTGCAACCAGTCATAGAAAATTTCCCTAGTGACCCATGCCTTAGTGTTTGCCCTCCACAGCACACACAAATTAGCCTTGAGGACATTGTTTTTCCTGAACACTCTGGGAGTTTCAGAGTGATATACCAATAAAGGCTTCACTTTGCAATCACCACTAGCATTGGCACACATCAACAGAGTAAGCCTGTCTTTCATAGGCTTATGTCCTGGGAGTGCCTTTTCCTCCTGAGTAATGTAGGTCCTGCTTGGCATTTTCTTCCAAAACAGGCCTGTTTCATCACAATTAAACACTTGTTCAGGTTTGAGTCCTTCACTGTCTATGTACTCCTTGAATTCATGCACATATTTTTCAGCTGCTTTGTGGTCCGAACTGGCAGCCTCACCATGCCTTATCACATTGTGAATGCCACTACGCTTCTTAAATTTCTCAAACCAACCTTTGCTGGCCTTAAATTCACTCACATCACCACTAGTTGCTGGCATTTTTTTAATTAAATCGTCATTCAACTTCCTAGCCTTTTCACATATGATCGCTTGAGAGATGCTATCTCCTGCTATCTGCACACCAATAAGAGTCTCTCAACATCTTCTATCACTTGCGATCTCAGTTTCGAAAACATAGTTGCACCTTTGGCAAGAACAGCTTCCTTGATTGCCGTTTTCTTGCCCACAATAGTAGCGATGGCTGATTGGGGTTTACTATACAACCCGACCAGCTCGGAGACACGCATTCCACTCTCATACTTAGCAATGATCTCTTTCATCTCCATAGTAATTCTCACCCTTTTTGCTGTAGGGTTGGCACTAGAAGCTTTCTTGGGGCCCATGGTGACTTATTTTGCAGGTGCAATCACTACAAAGGCTGTGATAATATGAAATGTTCCAACTAAATGTTTGGAAGCGACCGCGGTGGCTGGCTGGCTTGTAAACACTGGCACCCATGGGACAAGTGAGGCGCGCTCAGGCCAAAGTGGACGTGTCTCGAACTGAACGAATAGCGTTGGTCGGGTTTTTTAGCGCTAGTCGAGGCAAAATTTTTGCAATAAAATGTATCGCTAGTCGGATTTATCGTTAATTGATGCCATCGTTGGTCGAGGGTCCACTGTACTATCTTTCCTGGTGGGATATTCAAACGGAAATGCTTTATTGTTCCCCTAATCAACATGATGACTTTGTCGCACATGTGACTGACTGGTATAATTCCTACGAGTGTTCCTCTGTGGAGATTTTTAACAATGACCTTGTGAGCAGTATTCAGAACTACTTAGAGCTGCCACTGAAACCTCCTGGTACTCTAAACCCAACTAAGTTCCATAATAATCATAACTAAAAACCATACCTATTACAATGATCCTAAACTTCAAACATTGAAATGTACTGCTCGGAGACTAGGCCTAGCCTATAGAAACCATCGTACCCCTGAAATGATGAGGCTCTTCCAAACTGCCCTTGCTGCTGCCAGAGTGTCTGACAAAGCTGCGGCAAACAGACTGGGAACAATTTGTCGATGGTCTCGATGCTCACACACCACTTAGCTGGGCATGGAGGGACAAAAACAGAATTAAGGGTAACAGAACTGGTCAGATCGTGCACCTTCATCCCTTACATAGGGTGAATGAGTTAGTTATTGCTTGGGCTACCACATCTAGCTATGACAATCTTCCCAGTATCACATAGGCAAAATTAATGGACAAATATGA